AAGTTCACTATTTGACTAACCCTAGACTGCGAGAGCTAGTGGCGTCATTATTTGAGACTGTGGTACGTCTCCTGTAGAGCTTACAGTAATTAGACTAGCAGTAAAGAGATTAATTCTATTCTTGATCTTCAACTCTAAATTGGAAGCTTCAGACTGCTTCAAGTTATACAAATCCTCTAAGGACATTAAATTGTCCTTACTAGCCAAAGCTTATTAAGTTAACCAAGACATTAACTTGTCTTTGTTACCCTCTTATCTTACTTATCTAAAAACCCTATTCTACTAACCCAAGTAGCTAGTCCTTAAGCTACTAACCAAACCTCCTTACAGCCCATCTTCTAAGATTCCTTAAAAGTCCCTTGTAAACAGGCAAGTGAGGCTTTAGAGTACTCAAGCAGATTAGTAGGTGGTCTTTGAATTAGTTCCCCACGAACACCAGGATAGCTTGGTTGAAAGGCTAACCCAGTGAACCCTGGAAAGAAAAGATTGGGAAAACCAAATCTAAGTATTCCATACTATACCCTTCTTGCTTTTAGTTTAGAACTTCAGACCAAACTCCATTGCCTTTTATCAAGAAGTAACCTTCTAGGATTCTTCTAGAATCTTCTTTATACCAAGCCTCATTTTATTTTACTTACTTTTCTTATCCTAACCTTTTCTTTACAACAATGGCAGCGGAGCAGCACTCGCATGTATATTAAAGGCAACCTCCCGCCATCAAATGGAGCAAGCTCCCCTTTCCCCCACCTTCACCTCTAAAGTCTGCCCCTCCGAGCTTCGGGCACATCCTAAGAGTCATCGAGAATACACTCGCAAGAGCGTGAGACAAGTTTCGCCTGTGACGAGTGCGGGCATGAGCATTTAAGTAAGAGTTTTATCAGATCATTCATTGAGCTTAGTTACGTGTTTAGACATTGAGTTTTGTTATTGGCCGTTTCCTCCCCACACGTAAAGCCCCGCATATATTGAGCGCTGACCTGTACGTCGAATCCTCCTCCACAACGCGAGATTCTGCATTTTGATGGTGATCCTTCATCAACCACCAGCTTGGATTCCCTTCACATCTCCATCCCAAGATCTCTGCCGAGACCATGGGAACCTGGCCAACCCTGACCAACCCTGGCCAAATGCTTCCCACGGGTCCCTGAGCTGCTAGCGTGCCGCCTACGGCGGCATCCCCCCTTGCCATGACCTAGTTGCCCAGCTGAAGTACTGTTAAAACCTACCACCCTATGATGACATCACCCTCTTTCCATATTTAGATTTGATGCGCGCAGAGTGCACTCAGCTCTGGTGCCCTTTGGTTCTCCGCTATGTTTCCCTCAGTCTCAGCTTCCTCAGCATACTAGGTATTGGACTGAATATATTAGGAAGTAGATAAGCTATATAAGAACACGTAGGAATATCTTTGGAATTTTATCTTTGATTACTCATGAATCCCCCCCCCCTGCGCGATTCCATTCACAACAATTTAGAAGCTCTCAGGGACTGGTGACCTGTACTGCCTGAAACTGTATTGTAGGGAGAGTATTAGGCCCAAGAGTGCACATTATTTGACATGTCAAGGATGTATAACTTTGGTCGGAGACGGCGGACAACGCGCCAGTGAGTCATTACTTTCGCACTAATGACTAGAACACGCGGACTTGCCACGCCTTGACTGAGAGTTATGGTGCGCAGCCACCTTCGCGGGAACCTGCTAATTAGCATCTGCGAGAACGTGATCACTATAGAGTCAGCAAACGCATGGCTGATCAGCGGGATTCACTTTCTGCGCGGAGTACGACCTGGCAAGAGTGCATTGCGCAGAGCTCGAGCAAGTTTGCGGGCGCGAGCCGCCGTACCGCGCGTTGTACAGAAGCATGGCAACCTCCTCTGATACATACGCACACGCAGACGTACATGAAGCCCAAGAGCGTGACGACTTCGTTCTGGCAGGAGGCGAAATGAGGAAGGGGTACTGGGCATGCCATGGTTCCGGACGAAGGAGCCAAAATTATGGGCACTTGGGCGTTCACGACCATGCTCGGAAATACAAAAAGTTAGCATTTCTATTCAACAAACCCTGGGCGACCGAAGAGCGAGTGTAAGCGAAGCAATCTGAAGCGCATCTCTCATCTGCTGGCGTCCTAAAACTATATCTCACCTCAGCTCTGGTCACTCTGGAGCGCGGCAGAGAGTAAAGGGGGACTGACATCAATATGCCCGGCCATATGTATCGCACACACGACTGAGCCATCTAACCTAGAACCGATACCGTCTCACAACATCGTCCCAAAGCTTCTTGGCGTCCACTCTTGCGTCAAGACGAGCTGCAAGTAAGAATGCACCACTCAGTTTCCTGCATATTTACGCATCAGCACAATATACCTCAGCTGTACGACCCACAAACGCATCGATTGAGGCTGTACGTCTCCCTCGGCGGGGCCGTCAGCCTATGCTGCAGCATAACCGGGATCTGTGCGCGGATTTGCGCCGTGATGTCCGCCCAGCTCGAGCGGGGTCCGGACGCGAACGGCTGCGGCGTGTGCGCCTTGAACGGCGTCGCGAGTAGGGACATGGACGTGACGTGTGCATCGAGCATGAGCTGGCGCGGGCGCCTGTCAGCGTGCCGTACGGAGCAGGAGCAGTGGAAGGCGCACCTCGTTCTCTTCGCCGGTAAGATAGCCGACCTTCAGGCTCCGGTCTATGCAGGCCTGCCGGTCGTCGGACGCTGCAGCCTGTAAGAGTCGGAGCCAGCTGCCGATGAACTCTTTCGAGTATTCACGCGTGGCCCCGAAATCGACAAGTTCAATCTGTTGGGAGAGGGGATGAGTAAGAGTATGGTGCACAGAAGAGACAGTCTCACTCTGCGTGTGCTTTTGCTCCACAGGAAGTTCGTCCAGTTGGGGTCGGTCTGCATCGTCCTGAACACGAATAGCTCCTTCAGGCAGAGGTCGATGATTCGGTGGCAATCTTCATGGCCACGCCAATCAGCATTATTCTGCTCTATTTTTACCAGAATTGACTGTACCTTATTGCGATCCTCCTGTGGCATGCCCTCAATTACGTTCCCACCAACACTGACGCCATCGACCATCTCCATAACAAGCACGCGCTCGGTGCTGCCTTCCCAGACCCAGGGCACCTTGAATCGCCGGTCACTTCCCAGATATGATGGCTGGCCGAACTTCTTCAGGAAAGACGCTTCGCGCGTATAGTCACATTCGTCCGCGAGCTCTTCTTTCATGACCTTCCGACAAGCGCAAGTCAGCAATCGTATCTCAGAGACGTTCGCCTATGAGCATTACTGCAATTGTCTTGTCCAAGAAGAACCCCTTCGGCAAAAGCTTTCCTGCCGTTAGCAACAACCTGACGTAGCCGAGGTCGCTCTCGATGGAGTTGACGATGTTCGGAAACTGGATCTTCACTGCCACGGGCTCCTCCTTTCCAGTAGGAGAGGATGCAGCTGCGAGGACGGCGGAGTGTACTTGACCAATGGATGCCGCCGCGAAGGGTGTCCTGTCGAACGATGCAAAGTGGTTCATCCAAGAGGGACCAAGGGAAGACTTCATAACTTCCTGCGAGGAAAAATCAGATAAGCGACGATACTGAAGACGGCCTCCACTTACTTCCGTCTGCCAGTCAGGCATATAATGCGCACTGTCCTGCACGCGCCTGAATATGTCTTCTATTTCCGGAGGCAAGACATGGCTGTCTTTCCAAGCAGTGAGTTCCACATTCCCCAGTGGCTTGTGGTCTGATAGGTTGCATACCCTGTATGCTCATGAACTGGCCTAGCTTGAGAGCAGCACCACGCATCTGTGTCAGCTTCGATACCAGACGTTTGACGTTACCCTCAGTCATCATGAGTGACGTGTGCTGGTCTGAGTTGCCTGTCGAGCGTCGAATGAGCTCAGATGCGGCGCCATAACCCAAGGACGCGGCGAGACCTTAGTGTATTTAAACTGCAGATTGATACAAGCAATGCGAGTAAACTGACCTCCGTAGTGGAAGAGACGTCCTATGCGGGACGACGGGACCTTCGAAGACTGCAATTTCCTCATTGTAACAGGTTCTGTGACATTCTTGAAGACAATAAGTCGCGTAGAAAAGCGCTGTAAACGAGACTAAGGCTTACCAGGGGTGCATCTGGGATACCTATCGTGACTGAAGACTCGGCGGTCTGAGCTGGCTCTGTGCTGCTACAGAGGTCACAAGAGAAATAAGAGAGCTATCAGCTTGTTTTATCACAGGCTTCATTATCCGTATGGCGTCTGACTCTAGTCTTGACGGGCTCGGTATCCGAGCCGTAGACAACAATTCGGGCGCATGCTGTCTCACTATCGGCGAGGTCTGCAACTTTTCATGCGAAGCGGGTGCCGGAGCCATCCACGGGAGCTCCTCCCGTGCATTCGCAGCCCCAGGAACAGGCACGTACGCAATTTTATCGGCCAGAGAAGCGTCCATGGCCGCGCCTCGCACCGAGTTCTCGGACGTCGGCGCGTCCCGGACCTGGATGTCAGAAGCATGCCTACGAGCTGGCGCCGTCCCCTTCAGGACGAGGGCGGACGACGCCTTGACGTCTGTGCCTGCACGCCGTGGCACATGACGCGCTCCTCGTCGCAGAAGCTGGGTGGCACCGAACTCGGCCTGCGTCGCGCGGATTTGCGCGGCGTGCCCGAGGACCTCGAGCACGCTGTGTGCCACGCAGCACCAGTTGTACGCGGGCCCCGGGGGCATTTTCTGTGCAATTTCAGTGCAAATTTACAGATAGAGGGAGACTGGACTTGCTGTTTGCGCGTACCAGGACGCGTTGGCGGACAGTGTTGGAGAGCAAAAGCGGAAGTAACTGAGGAATGCCGCCGTGCCGAGGACTTGGTGGCGACCACGTGACTATTGGTCAAAAAACAGTTATTATGTCTAGCGCAGATATAACAGATATGTATTGTATAAGAGCTATATAGATATCATAGTCTATGGATAGGGACGAGGATAGAGATCCACGATAATAATGACGGTACGGCAACCCTACAGGGCAGGTAGTACCAAGCATTGCAGTGTGGTTTCAAAAAGGACACCTTCAACTGTTGTCTGCCAGAAAGCCTGGCAAAAACCTGCTAGCCTGCCGCCAAATTTCCTAGTACTGAGATCCGGCTTCAAGTCAATCAATGCGAGAGGCTGACGTAAATGTTCTACGGATTCATCAAGTATTTAGCACCAAGAGCAGCGATAGCCAGAGGGGACACGTACCACCGGAGTGGGCGTCGTGCCAAGCTGACTGGCAAGAGCGCTCAAATCGCCGGTGACATAGATGTTCATACCGGACATCGCTAGGTAGGTCGTGGGAGTTGCTAAGGACCCCATCGTCAGCAGGGCACAAGCACACCCATGTATAGTTGAACTTACAGCCATCGGGATTAACCCACTTGACGGTCATCTTCCCACTTGCAGGATCAATGCTAAACTGTGAGGTTTCCTTCTGTTAGTGGAAGCGTCCGGAAGCGTGGCGTGAGCACGTACGATAGTGGTTTGGACGTATCCAATGGCGTACGTATCGTAGACGTAGGTGGACGACGCGCTACCAGCGGGAGCTGTGAGGCAAATGAGATCAGCGCCTGGACCTAACAGAGCAGTGAATCGCAGCGCTTACTGTGGGCACGCGAGTTCTGTAGCTCTAGGTAGATCTGGTTGCTATTGCGGCATTTCCATCAGCCCCTGGCTTCCTGGAAAGGGATAAGAGACGCGTACCCAGGTCCCAGCGTAACCTGCGGCCCACTCCGGATGGCGACACCAGTCAGGCGGTACGGCTGTCACAAAGCGTTGAGAATCCACAAAGCGCGTCGACCAATCGTGGAACCTACCGTGCCCGGGTGTCCCAGCTCGACGACGGCATCCAGCGGGCTCGGCTCGACGTAGGTGTAGCGCCAGGCATCGGATGCCGAGGAGCCGTCTCCGAGAGTCGTGGTCAAGCCGTAGGCACCGAGATATCCAAGTGGCTCAGCGTCACGCTTTGTAGGATCCGTCGAGGCGGCATATACACCAAGTACGCCAGTTTGACTGTCAGGCGATGATCAGATACAGCATGTCTTTCACCTCAGGCGGAGACTTACGTCGAGCCGGGGGCAGGAAGTCTGAGAGAAGGGTCTTCAGAAGAGCCAAAAATACAAAAGGCGGCACTTACGTGGGAGTAGGCGTGGTGGAAGTTGAGGAGGAGCTTGAAGAGGAGGAAGAGCTCGACGAAGAGGATGAACTGCTAGAAACTGAGGAGCTAGAAGAGCTCGAGCTGGAAGAAGGGTTGGAGCTCGACGAAGAGGTAGAGCCGGACGTGGACGTGAAGGACGAGGACGACAGGGTCGGGGACGACGTGTCTGAGGTGCTGCTCGCCGCGCTCGTGGTCGTCGCGGGGTTCGTCGCGGACGTCGGAAGTGCGGAAGGAACGCCGTCACGCGCGGCCCCTGCGCAAGACGCCTCGCCTCAAATCCGAAAGCTTAAGACGCCACAGGAGAGACAGGGCTTACTGTGATGAACGTCAAAGAGCCTCTTGGGATAGACGGGGGGCAGGCCGCGGGCCAAACGCTGGGCGTTGCTGCCCGCACGCGCGTCGACGGCGTACGCGTCCGAAAGCTGAAAGAGCGACAGTGCTACGAGAGAAAAAGAGAGAGCGTGGTGGAAGGAACGCATGGCGGTGGCAGGGAGCCTAAGAGCAAGACGGGGGAACCTCGAGCCTGGGGGAACAGCGAAGCGCAGACCGGCCTTTATACCAGCACCACACGCGTCCGCCAAAATTCGATCGTCCCTTGAGCTCGTTGGACAGGTTGGTACCTGACGGACACTGAAAAAGGCCAGATAGTTCAGTCCCGGGCTGTGATGCGCTTGGCGTGCCTACCTTTGACAGCGGCGTCCAAACGCAAATCATCTGCGAGACAGATCAGGATGATTTCGAAGGGGAAGATATCACCTCCTTTATGCGCATGCACTAGCTACGAGGCGGACGAGGGGGGACTACGAACAGATCACAGTGCCAGTCGGATCCAACTTTTGGAGGTTGGGCGGGCGGGGCCGACGCGCATTTTTGATCGTACCTTGAGCTAGCCTCCAGTTGCTTACGATGCTGTGGTTAGTCATCAGTCGCTCGTTCCTCGAGTGTGGTTCTGCGACTCCGAATGATATTAATATTATTGCAACCATAACAAATTTTGTGGCTTAGCATAGTGTATGTAGTCGGAACGGTATAGACATTGAGTCCAAATCTCCTGCCGGTAATCGTGGCCCTTTACGCGTACTTACCATCCAAGGCTCACGTCTTCGCATCGTTCATTTCGACGCTAGTATCACCTTGACTATCGTCGACATCGGATTCAGACTCTACAATACCCTCCGGTGCAGGCTCCGATGCAGGCGCCGATTGACGCTGTTTCCGCTTCACGAACGTTGACAAGCATTCTTCCTCAGACTCGGCCTCGAGATCTTCCACCGCCACAGGCCCCTCCGTCGTCTCAACGTATTGCTTCATCGTCCTGCTGCCACCTTCTCTGTTGGTCTTCTTAGACACCGGCAGGCTCTCGTTCTGCATCGCCAGTGCGTCCGCCTCTTCCCAGGTCAGCCCCGTTCGCAGCCGGATCCCGCAGCCGGAGTAGTGCCTTTTGCGCTCCGAGACGGTGACGCGCGAGAGGGACGCGCCGCAGCCATACGGACACACGTAGCTCGGGAAGTGCGCAACGTAGTGCCTCGTGTAGTTCTCGCCCTGCAGGGCTTGCGTGCACTTGGGGCAGGCCACCCTCTCCTTCCGCTTCGTGAGCTCCGGGTGCATGCGCCGTACGTGGTGTATCGCGGCCGACCTTCGCACGACCTCAGTGCAGCCTGGGAGCGGGCACGGCATCTCGAAGTCCATCGTACCCACGGCGACGACGCCCTGCTCGGCGATGGGGTTCGTCCAACGTGGTTTTCTTCGCACCGGCTTTCTTCGAGGGTCATCTCGTTTAGAAATGTCTTTAAGCTGACGATTGCTAAGCAGACGTCGTCAATAATAAGTATACGGGAAATAACAAAAAGCTTACTCGAGGCGAAAGGTGATGAGCGCCTCATGTTGCGGTTCCAGGCGCTTGCTCTCGATCTCCCTTCCGAGCCGCGCGGAAGTGGCATCGGCCTGCTCGGATTGAGCTTCGAACGCAAGCTCGTCTCTGTACTCGCTCGTAGGCACCACAGGCATCTGATTCAAACACCGCGTAGACATTGTCCGGTGCGTGTTCCATTTCCCGGTTTCTAATGATAGAGCTCGACTTTCGCCAGACAGCGCTTCCCATCGCGGAACGTAGCCATCGTCGTCTTCTTCCTCCGCCACTGAAGCACGACGTGGAGGTATATTCTCGACGTCTTTGGTACCGTATGCTTCGTCATGTTCAACTGGAGAAGCACAGTTTCGGCGGGATGTGTTCCTGCTCCGCGGATGTGCATCCTTTAGCTTGGCGCGTGTCCAGCGAGCGGTGTACTGCGGAGCGTGTTGTCTCTCTTCGTCTGCGTAACTGAGACATTGGTCCCGCGTCCCGTGCAAACGTCGTCCGGGCACCGGTGGCGCTCGATATTGAGGAAACGGATCCCCGCGCTGCATGAGCCGCTTCACGAGCCAGTCGGGAGGCATAGGTATATCTTCAGGCGGCACAGGACGTTCTTCATTCAGTGTGTTGGGGCCTTCGTACATAGGCTTCTGCGCGGGAAAAGGAGGCCTACCGCGACAGGACTTCTCGATCTGCATTGCCGGTGCGGGACGTCGCTGAAGCGGCGGAGCTGAATGCTGGCGTATTCCTGAACTTGGCCGGAAGTCTTGAGGACGAGGACGGGCGGGCCGCGATTCGTGCGTTGGTGCAGAAGGAAGAGGCGGAGGCGGAGGCGAAAGAGACGTTGCACTAGACATCCTTCGCGGATCGTACGCTGGCGCGGTGTCCTGGGGAAGGGTGAGTGACGGATGTACAGTAGGAATGGGGCAGCGGTCGTAGTAGTTTATATCGACATGTCGAGTAGCAGATCGCGGAGACGGCCAAGTAGGCACGCAGTCTTCGAAATGTTCCATGGCCTCGAGCGTATGCTCGTCCGTGCGGACCCAAATACGACGTCCACCAGCCAAAGTGTAGTGATTCTGCTCCAGATCTTCCGGGCGAGCACGCTTCTGGTTGGAGGTGTTAATCGGTGACAGTGCCATGGCTGAGGCTGTTGAGACGAGCAAGGTGGGCGTTCAGGGAAGAGTTGGGGGATGCGAGGGATGTCCCTTTTTAATGAGGCCCGAGCTTACAGTGAGTGAGTCAAAATAAAAAAAAGCTGTTCGCATAAATTGTGGCACCGAAAATTCCCGCCCTATATAGAGCAAATGAGCCGGTCAAAGGTACGGAGAGGGAGCCACATCCACTCACTTTTGACGAGTTTCACTGGGGCTTTTGGAGCTCGAGAGAACGTGTTGTATCCAGAGTTTGGCTGTGAGCTACGTTGTGGAGATTCGTTGCTTATGAAGGCCACTGGGAGGTGAAAGCTCAGGCTCCGACTACATTTTTGGAGAGGCCACACAGGTGGCCACTGCTTGGACCAACATGGGCAAGTCACAACACCCCTTTTGGGAGCAAACAAGAGCGGCCTAGAGTTGCTCCAAATTGGCTTTCCCCTTGTTCGAAGGCTGAAAACAACATAGAGGTCGGCGCATGCAAGAATTGGAAAGAAGAGTACTCTCACCCTCGATCGTGCACTCCACTCCAAAAGAGGAAAGATCTAGTGAAACGAAGACCTCCTGCCTGTCTGCCACCAGAGTCCGAGATGGGCCGGACACGTAACGTCGTCGAGATGTATCACGCCAGCTATGAAAAGCTCAGACCCCGTGAGGAACGCTATAGAGGCAGCGAGACGAGCAGTACGTTCGTCTGAAGAGAAGGCTAGCTCGTCTTCTCTCCTGACGGACGTCATGGACGTCGAGTTCAATGTGTTCGACACGCACTTACGCAAGGCCAGTAGGGGTCGGAGGTCAGCGCGAGCGAGTGGGAGAAGGAAAGACACGCTGTGAGAATGTCTCGGAGCCTCTCGGGACGCGCGCTCAGCGATCAAGCGCTCAAGATCCGCTTGCCCAAGGCCGACCCGGGGAAAATTAATAGCGAATCCCATTGTACAGTACACCGTAGGGTATATAATACGTACGGGTATGTGCTACAGCTACTGAGAATTAGGTGCGAATTATTACGTTACTAGATTATTTCCTAGATCGATGACATAAAATGGAGGTGACTCCTCGAGTACCATGCCCGGTATCCACTGCGCGGCCTTTGAAAGTCCTCAAGCATAGATGTGTATTCGTGTGACGTTATTACGCGAAGACAAGCTAATGCAGGACTCAGAAAATAGTAGGAACAGGTATGGGGGAAAATATGCTCAAAGTGTGGTCGAACGAGTCGTTAAGGGCTTGGCAGAAAAATCAAGGGAATGAAATACCTAGGCGATGACCAGCGGTTTTACATTCATAAAGCCCTCTACAACCTCGAGCGTAATGTTGAGCAGATCAGCAACAATTTGCGGCGGCGTGAGGGCGAGCCATTGGGTAGCGCTGAAATCGATGAACTTTGGAGCCTTGAACATTTCGAGGTAGACGAGCGGCTCGGTCGGGGATGTGTTCTCCACGTAATGTCCGTAACTAGCAGGGAACACCGCGGTGTCGCCAGGCTAGGCAGCGATGGATCAACATATGGATAAGAGAAGGCGATAGCGAACTGCTTACTTGGAAGTCGAAGGTCCGCGAGGAACTACAGCCTCCGAAGGCAGTCGCGCGAGCCGTACCGCTAATGATATACAGCCATTCTGATGGAGCAAATCAGAAGTCTGACAAGAGCGCGTCATAGAGGGTGAATGCACCATCGTCGTTGTGCCAGTGCATCTCGCGTAGACCATTGGGCTCTACGTATACCAATGCACTGGCAACTAGCTTGGACACGGGGAAGTTGATCACAGAGTCCTGAATCTTGAGCCATCCTCCTCCACCAGGAGCGACGGTCTCGTTTTGGTCGGCAAGGCGGAAGATGTAGTGCGACGGGTCGATTGTGCCTTGCGGGCTCGGTACGGCCTCCTCGTCAGCATGTCCGAGAGGCGGCGGCGCCTTGGTACTCGGTAGGATGTACGGGTCCTTCTGGGGGATCTTGCTCAGAATGTTTATGTCGTCGATCCCGAGGTTCTTCGCAAGCACCTCTAACGGTGTGCGCGCGAACCAGTCTGAAAGCATGAATGTCGTGCCAAGTGCATCGAAGTCGCCATCGGTGAAAACCAGCAGGAGCTCGAGGCCGTCACCAAGCGCCCGGATGCTGTGGGGCACGCCTGGCGGAAAGATACAAAAGATACCATGAGCATATAATGGACGGTAAGAAATTAGCAACTCACTAGTAGATATCTGGATCGCTGATATTGGTCGGACCACGAATGTCCGAGATGAAGGATTTGCCTTCCTCGTCAATGGCCGTGAGACGACCGTTTCCACCAAGGACATAGCCCCATTCAGCCACGCGGTGCCAATGACTGGAACGAAAGTTGGAGCAAGTGATTATTGGATTCACATATATACTCACAGCTCACGGTAAGCATTCGGTGCCATGGCAATTTCCGCCGCAGAGAAGTCCTTCGCTATCCAGACATCAGCGCGATGCCAATAGTACATCGAGGGACTCACAAGGTGGTAGGTCGGTAACTGTTTGCTCTCGCACCCACCCTCCATTCAAGAGACGAGTGTGCGAGAGCGACATGCTCCACTTCAGGTTCACAATACTCCCTGAAACCAGAGAACAGTCAGGTCCATGCGCTGCGCAAGAAGCTTAGGCGCAATACCTTGATCGGTAGTGGGTGGAGCGACGTTGTCGACGTTCTGCTTGTCGAGCTCGTGGTTGCTATTGCTGAGGAACTTGAAGCCTGTGCCAAGGCGCGTGGGTTCAGGATATCCCGCAGTGAAGGTCGCCATCTGCCCGGCATCGGGCGCGGTGACGCCGTCACGCTTGTCCATGGTTACGGGCGCGACAACGAACTCTTCTGGTCGCAGGTGGCGAGGCTGATACCCCGACTCGCGACGGCAAGCAAGGTGCAACGGAGACCTCACCACTGGCGCGGGTGCCTCGTCCTCTCGTGCCTGCTCCGCTTCGGAGAGAGGCGACGTGTAGGCCGGCTGGACAGCGAAGATGAAGAAAAGGAGGATAGACCAGTGGGAGTGCATGACGAGAGGCAGGTAGCTGGGGTGGGACAGCTGAGCTGCTGGTGCTAAAGATGTCAACGCGCCCATGGTGGGCTTTTAAACCAGTCTAGTGGGCTAGGCATGGTGTTAACAGTCAGATCACTTGACTGGACAAAAAGATTGCAGCAGTCCTTAGCGGCGAAGTCAACGTGGACGTCAAGGTCCGTATCGGCGGACCTGTTTGATACCACGCCAGATGATCCTGTAATTTAGAGTCGTTATCGAAAGACGCATATGGCATAATGCTATTACTTACACCGCTGTGTGAGCGAGAAAGACGCAGGTAGACCATTGGTCGGCAAAGGTCAAAACTATGAAGCCCTTCAGGCTGGGACTTGGACATACTGTGTGTGCCTGGTGCTGCTTTACTGTGCGCGGACTTGCATGTATATGGCCATTGCAGTAACGACAGATATGAGGTGCAACTGAACGGGTCGCATTTGAGCTTGCGGCCCTCTGGGCAAACAAAGTTTTGTTGACCTCTAGTCCGAATAGCAGAAGGGTATTCGGAATTCGAATGATGCCCACTTGTAAACCGGGCGCCCACGAACGTTTGAACACGCTACTGGCGTCCGAGGCATCTATTTCTGGAGACCGCCAGGTACAGGATGCCTGACCCTGCACGGCACTTTGAGGTGGTCACCGAGCAGGCCGTGTATTGGTGACGACCACACATGGTACACCAGACGTGTTATAAGCACGACTTCGACTCTTGCTATCGCTACGAGTATTGAACGCTTAACAGCGCTATATGAATTAGTAACAGAACTACATACCTTTCAAGGTCAAGCCGTTCGACGTGTTTGTAGACTAGGTTGGTACTGTTCCCGTAGGAGACTCGGACGCAAGGTTGGGCAATGGAACTAGTACTGAGAAAAACCGGAGATAATTTTTTGATAGACTTAGATATCTTTATGCTCGTGCCATCGAATGAGTGAGCTAATTCGTGCGCGTTTGGACATCTCCTGGGCACAATCAGAGAATACGGGAAAACGAGTGGTTGAGGTTTTTGAACAGGGCTTGCTTCGGCGACGAGCCGTGAGAATTATCGGAGCGCTCAGTCGCCAACTGCCGCCACCGTGCCAAAATACTGAGACGGGCACTCATGTGATGCAGTCATTTCACCGCAGGATAGCGGGCATTGGAAGTGGACAGGCATGAAGGCCCTTGACACCGCCCGGAAGTAGGGGAGAAGAGGATGGCGGCGGCGGCGGCGGCGGCGGCGGCGGCGGCAGAAGATGGTGACGAAGGCGAGGCAGAAATTTAGTTTATTGTATACAGAGATGTTAGCCGTACTACAGATACGCCGAAGGCAAGCTAATGCGGAACCTGTAAAACAGCCGAAAGGGGTATATTATTGTGTCGAAAAGGTCATTAAACCAGATTTTCCAGGAAAATCAAGGGAGTGCAATGTCTAGGCGATAATCCCCGGTTTCACTTTCATGAAGCCCTCTACGACCTCAGTCGAGATATTGAGCAAATCAGCGACAATTTGCGGCGGCGTAAGGGCGAGCCATTGGGTCGCACTGAAATCTATAAACTTCGGGGCCTTGAATAGCTCGAGGTAGATGAGCGGCTCAGTCGGCGACGTGTTCTCGACGTAGTGGCCGTAGCTGGCGGGAAACACCGCGGTGTCGCCGGGCTACACGTTTTGGCTCAATACATGAATGATGGAAGGTGATGACGAGCCGCTTACTTGGAAGTCGAAGGTACGCGAGGAGCTGGAGCCTCCGAAGGCGGTGGCACGAGCCGTACCGCTGATGATGTACAGCCATTCTGATAGAACAAGTCAGCAACCGGATACGAGGTTGTGGAAGACGGACGCACCGTCATTGTTGTTCCAGTGCATCTCGCGCAGGCCATTCGGCTCCACATGTACCAGTGCGCTGGCGGTTTGCTGAGACACGGGGAAGTTGGTCACAGAGTCTTGGATTTTGAACCATCCTCCACCTCCGGCAGCGATGGTCTCGTTTTGGTCGGCGAGACGGAAGACGTAGCGCGACGGGTCGATCGTTCCCTGCGGGCTTGTTACGGCCTCATCGCTGGCGTGTCCGAGAGGCGGCGGCGGCTTGGTGCTCTGCAGGAGGTACGGGTCCTTCTGGGGGATCTTGCTCAGGATACTTATGTCGCTGATCCCGAGGTTCTTCGCGAGCACATCTAGTGGCGTGCGTGCGAACCAGTCAGAGAGCATGAATGTCGTGCCGAGTGCGTCGAAGTTGCCGTCGGGGAAGACTAGCAGGAGCTCGAGACCCTCATCAAGAGCTTGGATACTGTGGGGTACGCCTGAAGGAAAGCTGTAATAGAGATAAATATACTTGATATTGACCATGTAAAGACGCGACTCACTAATAAATATCTGGGTCGCTGGTGTTAGTGGGCCCACGAATGTCCGAAATGAAGAATTTGCCGTCCTCGTCGATGGCTGTAAGACGTCCGTTCCCGCCAAGGACATACCCCCACTCCGGCACACGGTGCCAATGACTGAGACGGAGATTTTAGCAGGTGATTATCAATGAATATATATATACTCACAGCTCGCGGTAGGCATTGGGTGCTATGGCAATTTCTGCCGCGGTGAAGTCCTTTGCTGTTTGAATTTGAATCAAATAGCAAGAATTAAATGAGAGCCAAGCTCACAAGGCGGCAGGTCAGTAATAGTCTGCTCCCGCACCCACCCACCATTCAACAGGCGAGTGTGCGAGAGCGACATGCTCCACTTCAAGTTCACGATACTCCCTGGGATCAGATGTCAGTCAGGGTCATGTACCAAGTAAAGGGCGCGGGCGCCATACCTTGGTCGGTGGTGGGTGGAGCGAGATTGTCGACATTCTGCTTGTCGATTTCGTGATTGCTGTTACCAAGGAACTTGAAGCCTGTGCCAAGGCGCGTAGGCTCAGGGTTCTCCGTGGTGAAGGTCGCCATTTGCCCGATATCGGGCGCGGTGACGCCATCACGCTTGCCCATGTGTGGCTCGTCGTCGTCTACAGGAGCAACGACGAACTCTTCCGGCCGCAGGTGGCGAGGCTGATACCCCGACTCGCGACGGCGAGCAAGGTGCAATGGAGACCTTACCACAGACGAGGGAGCCTCGGCTCGCACCTGCTCCGCTTCGGAGAGAGGCGACGAGCAGGCCAGCTGGGCAGCGGAGGCACAAAAGAGAAGAATAGACCAACGGGCGCGCATGGCGGGAGAGCACAGCTGAGATGAGATGGTCAAGCTGCTGGTACCGGAAATGTAAGTGCACTGCTGTGCGCTTTTATGCATGCCCAGTGTGCTCGGCGTGGCATCAGTAGTCAACAGTCGCTTGAATGGAAGGAGCGGCGGCGGTGGTCTTAGCAGAGAAGTCAGCATGGACATCGAGGTCCGTGTCCGCGAGCCTCCTTGGCACTATGCCAGATGACCTCGTAGCATGGAGTCGTTATCGTCGGACCAATGTACAACATGTCAATGCTTACATTGCTGTGTGAATGAGAAGGGTGCTGACAGAAGGCTAGTTGGAAAAGATCAAGTTCTAGGAAGCACTTGGCATTCAGCAAGACTTGAACCTCATGCTGCTTGACGGTGCGTGGGCTTGCACGTATGTTGGTACTGCAGCAAACGGCGGCAGGGGCAGAGCGTGTGTGAATAAGCTGTGCTTAAAACCGCAGTTCCCGAGGGTATCCAAACTTTTGGCGATCCCCACCCCGGAAAGCAGCATAGCATGCGGCATCTGAATGACGCTCGCTCGTGATCGGCCGTCTATGACAGCCCGAATGCATATGTTCCTGATTACTCGGAAGCAATCGAGTACACACTTCCTGGCGCCGTCCTGCATTTCAAGTTGGACACAGTCGTCGTGCAGACGATACCCCTGTAGATGCCTTGAACACCTCACATACTCATGGCTTTAAGCTTCAAGCGCTATCGCCACGAGAATTAAAGATGTGAGCACGCTGCACAGATGCCGACGAGGACCGGAGTCATGATACGTACCTTCCGATGTCAAGCCACCCAACGTGCTCGCAGACCAGAAGAACTGTTTCTGCATCGGATGCAGGTCAGCCAATCTGATGGCAACGGTATGAATGGCAAGCCGAACTGACAGGCCATCATCCACCGTTCTCCTTTACGGAATTCATGGTCACCATAGTTCTGCTTCAACAAGAGTGCTTTCCGCCGGACGACAGCCCCTTAGTGGAAACTGTACCTACAGAAGGTGTAATTTTCAGCCATGTTTGGAATACTCGAATATCTATCAGTGGGTATGGGTAGCGAGCTTAGTACAGCCGTCTCGTCAATCTGCTGAGAGATACCTTTCTCAGAGTTGACTGCGCTTTGACGCCACGGGCATTTTGCATCCCTTTTCGGCGAGGGAAAAAATCGGCGTGGGAAGAGCGTAGGCTGGCGCATGAATAGAATATCCGCGGTCACCGTGCCTGGACGCTCGGCCTTGTTTGGGTGCCTGCGACAGACACTCATGGTACATACAGCTCACCCGGCTTCGCCCGTTTCTTTCTATCCTTTTGTGATGTCTAATCAAACATTTTATCCAGTCTGCCTTCGTGGCTTCGCTGTCGCCCTCAGCTGCGCACCATCTTTTGCTCGTCCACCTTTCTTCCTTTCTACCTCCGTCTTTTTCAATCACGGTGTCTTCTCTGTGCTCTCGTCTTCCCTCCTCGATCCCTGCTCCGACTTCCTGTTGGTATCACCCAAGTTTCCACTATCATCACGCCCCCGCCCCCTTCTCCAGTCTATGCCCCGCCGTTCGGGCCTTTCTGTACCACCTCTATCTCAGATCTCAGTTTTTATGTCCCTCTATTTCTTTGTCAGACGTATCTTCCGGGTCTGCCCCTTGGTATTTACTTTTCGAGAGATTCCTATCAGTTTCCTTCAAAGCTTTCAGTTCTCTATCCTGGATCGATGCCGCACTCACCCGTTGCCGTGCATATGGTTTCTAACGAGTTTACGTGACCATTCTCTGGCCATAGACTGTCTCAAACAACAGTTCTAGAATACCATGCCTGCATGTCCAAGCGCTGCATGCATATGTCCGGGATAATTCCACCGAGAACCCCAGCTGTTCTGGCCTGTGGCTCTATGAGCAAAAGAAAATGAGTGCTTATTTTGCTGACATACATCTTCTCAAAACCAATTCTGCGGCTGGAGCCAGCCACCGACACCGCTAGCTCAGGTTCTCGCGGTCAGCGGTTTCCGAGGTCTCTGCTTCTCAATAGCCGATTTCCGGAGAAACCCTCCGATGGGGCAGCTCGCTCCCACGGGGTCTCCCGTGGTTCGTGCATCCTGCACCCACGGTCTCTGAATGCACTGAGCAAGACTAAGCAAGGCCGCTGCTGCCGCGGACGGTTCTTCTTCAGTGTTCTAGACCAGGCATACTGTAGCGATATGACCAAAAGTTCAGGTCACGGTCACGGAGCCTCTGAACAGGCCGAGGTTGAACTGGTGGTCACGGTCACGATAAGCCGATGAACCGGCTGCGAACTAGCGTGACTCGGGCGCTTTTCAATATATTCGGCATTTTTTTTCCCGAATTTTGATCGTCGCACAAGCTCAATGTTGTCTTCGGAGCACACAATTGGCCCATGAACTACTCACCTAGAACTACATATATTGCAAGAAATATCCTCCTCCTCGTCAGTTTCGTGTGCACGGTCCGTATCATCAGGCCAGTCAACACCTAGGACAGCCTTGGCAAGGGCAACCAATGTGTCATCCACTGCACGAGAATATCCAGAGGGAGGTACACTGTTAGAACGTGCTCCTTGGAAATATACACGGGGTAATGCTCGCATCAGGGCAGTAGTCCCGGCACTCACAGATATCCGGATATACCGCTTCGTCCTCGCGCGGGCGAAGGTGCGAGAACCCTTCTTAAGCCCAAGAGTTCGGCCTAATACACATGTGCTCCCGACGGCGGCCTTGCCCAACGCGGCCTGCGCCCGCCTTAGTCGCGGTTGGGTCACCGAATCGAGGTCACGGTCACGAAAGGTCTCTGAACTCTGAACTGACCAGGTTTCAAGCTTTCAAGTGTCACAGGTCACAGGGCCTGAGGCCTGAGGCCTGAACTGTTGGTCGTATCGCTACAGTAAGTACTGTCTATCATTCTATTTGCCCGGCTTTTTCCGATCGCCGGAGGCCTCAGGCTTCGGGCTTCAGTTGCGCGACCGTCGATGACTTTGCGGAGAGGGTCGGAACTCATTTCAATTAATAGCCAGATGCAGTGCCATTTCTTTCCAGCTCTAGTCTACGAACGAGTGCTGTACAGCTTTGAATGGTGTCCGTTACGGTACACAGAGCGTCGACGTGTGCAGCGGCGTCAAGCATGCGATCCTATGACGGACACTAGTGGATTTCGTGCACGCGAAGCGAGACCTGACAGGTCTGCCAAGGCCCGCCACTGTTCCTCCACATGCGCCAGGCTCGCTTGGTACGCGCATCCTAGTCATTTGGGGGAAGGGGGACACTATTCATTGATATATCGATACCGTATACCGGGCATGCCTGGTGCTGCCAGATTTTGGTAACTTTGCAGGTGCGTTCCAACTTGTTCAACGAGCCGACCCCCCTGGCTATCCTCTCTGATGAATTCGTCGTGACTGATCTTTCTCATTGCAATCCATTGCACTCCATTCAGCCATGGTCGTCACTGCCTTTAGCCAATAGTTGCGCCCGTACGCTACTCCGTTCGCGTCTTTGTACGGCATGTATCCCCTCCTGAAGACTTGGGCATCCGTGCAGCCGCGAGTCAACGGCCTACTTCGCTCTCGTCAACTGTACGCATGCTCATCTCAGCTCTAATTTGAAGGAACAGTAGCTCGGACGTCGCCTTACGGAGTCTCGTGCTTCGTCTCGTGAATGCTGGAAAGCCGGGCAGGTCACAAAAACACGGTGCATAGTCTCGGTCTGTGCATCTACGCCGAAAATTGCACCGCGGTGTGACGTTGCCCAAGTGGGGAGAAACAGCGCTGTTTCCAGCCGAAAACTCACCCCATGATGCAACAGAGGTCGTCTTGGACCCTGCGAGCTCTCGTTTTGCGGACTCCGAAACAGTTTGGCCACGACACTCTTCAACTTATCACTATTCCGCACGTCTCAGTTACCTCCGAGCGATGTCCTTCCGCTGACACGCATTTCAGCATTGGTTCAAGTCTTGGATCATTCGCCCATGGCCACCGTTCAGCCGGTGCACCTCGCCATGACTTCCTTGTACTCGAGCATCTATCACCGTTATTTTTTGTCCCTGCTTTTTTCGTCTCTATTTCACCACATTTCTGTGTTGTTCGCGTCCGCTGCCGTCGAAGACTCGTAACTCGTACGGGAGGGTCATGATATCAGATCAACGATGGGGTCAACTCCACGTGGTATAGTAAGCGCCTGCATTGGCGATGGAAATGATAACATCAAAAAATTCGAAAAGCTTTCTCCTCGTCGACCATCACCTCCTCCTCAAAATGTCGCTCGGTACGCTTTACACCATCCCAGGGCAAGCTCAGGGCAAGCGCGTAAGTATGCCATTCGACGGTGCGGCTTGTTCAGCCGGAAAATGTGACGGTTGCCCCTCAGGTTCGCGCTGCTGCCGCGCTCGCAGGTCTGAAGGTCGACCTGCCTGAGAGCTACGTTCACTTCCAGGACAACAAAAAGCCAGAGTTCTTGTCCAAGTTCCCCCACGGCAAGATTCCCGCCCTGGATGGTGCTGATGGGTTCAGGATTTTCGAGACCACTGCCATCTCCCGTTACAGTGAGTCAATGTTCGACCGGCCTCTAAAACCCCCTGCCCTGGCGAGCGAGATGAAAAGATAATCACATCAGTTATCCCTGTCTTAACATCCATGTCGAGACTTTAACCAGATTCTGACTCGCCAAAGACATCGATCTCGAGCTTTTACTGATTCGTCTCTCCCTCACCAGTCGCTTCTCTTGCTCCCAATTCCACTCTCCTCCCCCCCGATCCCAAGGTAGCTGCCCTTGTTGAGCAGTGGGTCTCCGTTGCCGACCATGAGATTGGTGACTACGTTGGTCTCATCAACCAGCTCTGTCGCGGCGTCATCCCCTATTCGAAGCCCGTCCACCAGACCTTCACCGAGCGTGCTATCCGTGGCCTTAAGACCGTTGAGCAGCACCTCACGACCCGCACCTACCTCGTCACTGAGCGTATCACTCTTGCCGACCTCGCCCTTGCATCTGTCGTCTTCCGCGCCGCCCCCGTGATCCTCGATGCAGAGCTCCGACCGCAAGTCCCCAACGTCATCCGTCACGTCGAGACGATCGTCAATCACCCTGCCCTGAAGGAGATCTATGGCCCGCTTGATTTCTGCGAGAAGGCGCTCCAGTTCATTCCTCCACCTAAGGAGAAGAAGGAGGCTAAGCCCGCTGCCGAGAAGCCCAAGGCGGAGAAGAAGCCCGCGAAGAAGGATGATGACGACGATGACGATGACGATCTCGTTCCCAAGGAGGAGCCCAAGGCCAAGAACCCGCTCGATTTCCTCCCCAAGTCGAACTTCAACCTTGAGGACTGGAAACGTGCCTACTCCAACAAGGACACTCGTGGCCCTAACGGCTCCATTGAGTGGTTCTACCAGAAGTGAGTCTTCGTCTGGGCGCAGCTTAGTGCCATGCTGACCTTCATTCCAAAGCTTCGACAAGGAGGGCTTCTCCATCTGGCGCGTCGACTTCAAGTACAACAACGAGCTGACTCAGACCTTCATGTCCTCGAACCAGATCGGCGGCTTCTTCAACCGCCTCGAGGCGTCCCGCAAGTACCTCTTCGGCTCAGTGGGTGTCCTCGGCCAGACGAACGACTCCATCATCGCCGGTGTCCTCATCGGCCGTGGCCAGGACATCAAGCCGGTCGTCGACGCTGCTCCCGACTATGAGTCGTACGAATACAAGAAGCTCGACCTCGAGAACGCCGAGGACAAGGCTTTCTTCGAGGCTGCTCTTGCCTGGGACCTCGAGATCGGCGGCAAGAAGTGGGTTGATGGCAAGAACGTAAGTGCCCACAGCTGTCACTGTTCTTCTCAGTTGCTGACAACCGCCCGCAGTTCAAGTAAAAGTTCCACCTGTGACGACATGCTGACGAGAGTTGTATCCATTGCTCTACTGTGTCTCCTTAGATCATCTTGTGCTGTGTCTGTATAATGTAGCAATCAAAAGCAAAAAGAATCGGAAGATATATCCTTGGACGACGCCGGCGGGCATTATAACTTGTACATTCAGTCTATGAGTCTACGATTCCGACGCTGTTTATCCTGTGCGAAAACCACCGCACAACTGCGCTCACGCCCGCCATGATAAGGAGCGAGCTGTCGAAGAGCGCGCCGAAGACTTGGTGTTCGGGTAGCGTCGAGAAGAGGTTCACAACTCCAACATCCGCCTCGGTGTCGGGGTGCGAAGGCGGCGGGGGGAAGGACGTGCGGAGCTGGATGAGCGTCGTCAGGAGGTAGATGCCCTGTTGCGCTCTCGTCAGCGGCGCGCATCGACATCGGCTAATGTGTCACACAGAAACGCAAACGCACCATGAGCTGCGCGAGCATGAGGAGCATGAGGCTCGCGCCGAGGTTGCGGCTCGTCACGCGCAGTGCGCGCGCGACGCCGCGGAGGACCATGCGGATGCTGCTCAGGATGATCACGCCGACGAGCGCGAGGCTGATCTGCCGCGCAAGCATCGCAATACCGTCCGCGTCGACGTGCACGGCCGGGATAAGCGAGAGCAGGTACGCGAGGCAAACGGTGATGACGTCGGTCGTGCGCCGCCCCGTATCAGACGGCGAGGCGCGCGGGCGCCGCGGAAGGACAAGGTTGAAGATTGCCTTCGTTGCGAGGGTTCAGGACCGGTGCTGGTGAGTGAAGAGAGGGGGGCACGCACGACGATGATGCGGTACACACAGTACATCGCGAAGAAGCACCCACCCCAGTTGATCAGCCGCCCGCTGACGGTCTGAGAATACTCTGCCTTGCGCTGCTGCTCCTTGAGTGCCTCAAGATTCCGCGCCATGTGGTATTCCAATGCTTCGAGCCCCGCTAGCTCTTGGGTCGCACTAGATATATCTGCCATCGGCTGCATTAGGGCGGTGTGATATACTTAGTCTTGACAGGCGCGTACCAGAGCTTCCGCTCAGGCTGGAAGTGACCTTGGAGAACCAGGATGCATCTGCTTTGGGCTGTTCATCTGCGTCAATATACAATGAATTGCGAGTGAGCATAGCCTACCTGTTCAGACTGCATACGCTCAATAGAGTGTCTTCGCTCAATCAAATCATTGCGTACACGTGAAAGGCCTTCTTCTGCGACAAGAATATCCTCGCCTGAAGGTGCCTTGCTGTGTCAAAAGTCAGTCATGAGACCGCTGGCTCTTCAGCTGGGCTAAATCTTACCCTTTGCGCGAGAACCATGGAAGATAGCGACAGGCATTGTCTATGGCTCCAAATCCGGATAGCGCACCTAGGATGACAGTTCCAGCCGCTGTCAGACGAGCGAGCACCGTGGCCACGATCCCATGCGATGCAGCACCCGCAGGTACTGGAATAAAGGACAGAAGAAACAAGAAGACGCCAATTGGGACCGCGTACAGTCCTAAACGAGGAAGGGTAGGCCTTTGTAGACCCTGGAGACCTAAGGCATGTCAACCGAGGCTCAAAAGGATGCGTGCTCTGCATAATCACCTGATGCTGAGCGATAGCTCAAGACTAAACTGTATGAGAACGGGATGAAGAGTACAATTGAGGCAAGTAATGTGCAGAGGGATATCTGCCAATTCAACAATCGTGTTCTGAGGACAGATCTGAATCAGCCGAAACAAAGCGCAGGCAATCAGAACGAACCGCGAGTGAAAAACATCCAAAGCTTGACACATGAGAAGGATGAACAGCGTTAAGCTTTCGGAAAAGCACAGCGCAAAGATTGCGCGAGAGATGGTCGAGTGCAGCGCACGTTTCCGAGGCACGAGCGCATGCTCCTTTGGGGCGAGCCCCGCAGTCGATGGAGTTGGAAGCGTGTCTAACTCTACATCATCTTGTGCTACGGGATTCAGAGGTTCTGTCTCGGCGGATAGGCCCTGCAAGTCGTGGTAGAGGCTGCGCAGCAGATACCTCCGGGCAGAGAGAAAGATCGCTGCTCTGTGATACCGTCGTAAGTATGGAAATATTTCTTCAAAATAAGGGCTGAGCTTACCTCAATGCAAATAAGACAGCGGTTTCCAATGTCAAGGAAATGACCCCAGGAGACGACATAGCTTGTGCGTGACCGTTCTCACGGCTCAGCACACCGAACCAGGGCAGTCAAGCCTAAGATTCTAGTAACAGTCTAATTTTCTTCGTTTAGAGATGTGTATAGAGTCTCTAGACGCGAACTTACAGTAATACACTCCCGCTGAGTCGTATGACCACGAGGTTCACTGCTCGAGACCAGGTGCGCTAGGCGCCAGCCATCGGCCGTCGCGGAGCGCCCTAAAGTTCTCACGTTCGCGTCCCAAACGTCGGCCGTCTTTGACTTTCGTTTCACACGAGTCCATCTCGCAATGCCACGTCCTTCAAGTCAGCTGTGCCTCCGAGATTTTTGACGACTTCAATATGTTAGCTAGCGGCTCGCAGGCTTGTTTATCGTAGGACTGTTTCAGGCCGAGACGGCTTACGACCAACAACCCTCAGCCACCTCATTAAGCACAGAATTTTGGTGAGCCCTGGCTTCACGTAGGAGGCCGCGATAAGCCCTGCCAAGGATTGGGAAGGGCAAAGATAAATGTTCTGGTTGGCTTGTTACAGCTGACTGTCGCGATCACCGAAGTCGATGCCTAGCCATCTGCGCCTGTAGCTGCTTCTTCGGCGGCCTCCGATATTCCTTACGCGTCTTGAACAGGTCAAACCTTCCACTTGACTCGCGGCCGCTCCTGGTGTTGACGCAACACAGCCTGCCGCTCTGCCCACCGCTGCTGGACGTGCTGGCTGTGTCGCGTGCAACCTAAAGCATTGACGTTCTGGAAGATATTCTGGGGCCATCGGGCAAGAGAAATTGCAAAGCAGCAATACAAAGTTTAAGCAGTGCTGGATTTTACTCGCTTGCAAACAAGGTTGACCACGCTGATAGCTAACTGGGATGATTTCACGTAAAAGGAAGCACGCCTGCTAAAGGCGGCAAGCCCTATTGATCAAGCTGGTGCCCTGGCACAAATACCGCCGTACAGGATTGCCATATATCCACCCATGTTGTCTCGGAGTAAAACACAAGGGCTGCTGGGGAAATTATGCCATAAAGTATTCTCGCATGTCAAAGCCGGAAACCACGAATCTCGACTAATTTTTCTCAAGTTTCGCCCTTCGAGCCCGACCCGCATAATGTCACAGGGGCATCTGGGAGATAGTTCAGACTTGTGTCATTATATCCTGCAGATCATTGGAGGACGAGTGTCGCTACGACGGCGACGGTCAAAGTCGTCCGCGATGGCTGGGGCTTGAAGATGCTGACTCCTCGGACATCTCCTGTGACAAGCATAGCTGTGTATAATTAGAATAAATAAGCGACGGTGTCGAAAGAACGGTATTCTTCTTGGCGTTGTGGCAACAGGGTGTGCGTCTCGGCTCATTCGGTTCGCGATGACGACTATGTTCACAACTTCGCCGGGTGGCCGTACAAGGATATCCGACGGTATGCGGACTTTGTTCGACTAGATACGTCATTAATAAATCATGTAGTCAGCGGGCGCATTGGGCTAGTGGACCGAGGTGGGTGAAATGCAAGGGCGACCAGTGAAGGGCCGCCGTTTGACAGCGCGTCGGAGACGGTGCGGACGGCGGCTTCTGAGGTTTGTGGAACTGTTGAAGTACTCAGAGAGGGTTCGCAGCCATAACATCAGTTTGCTTTATCGTTACGACCGCGATAGAATGGCTGTATGCACAGCAGAAGTCAAGCCCGCTGTTCGAAGTAGCGACGCGCTACTGGGCGCTCTGTGGCTTGCCTCCTTACCGCCATCACTGCGGCCGAGTTCGAGTTACGCGGCGTCGACTTTCCATATACGTCCAAGCTATGCAGTGCCCTGATGATTTCTTACCGCTGCCCGCGACCTGCGAAGGCCTGTGAATCTCCGAGTGCCATAAAATGGCAGAACGCGCAATAGCGTGAGGACACACTTCTTTCCTTCTCCAGGCGCAATGGCAACCACGCAACATCCTGAGTTGACCAAGACCATTTGCGTCATTGGGTCCGGTGCTGCAGGGCTCATTACTGCACACACACTCCTCCGCGATGGTTTTACCAATGTCGACGTGATCAGCAGAGATAGCTCTGCGGGAGGTATCTGGGCGGCGGAGCGCGTGTATCCTGGTCTCGTCATTAACAAGTACGCGTCTTACTCTACTTCTCGAAGTTCTTCTGGCTGAGACTCATTCATTTAGTGTGCACGGCGAGTTTAGGTTCTCGCACCAGCCCATGCCTGCCCCGACAAACTCGGAAGAGACTGGTGGCCGCCTCTCCGGAGACGATATGCGCAAGTACATGGAGTCATTTGCCGAACGCTTCCTCAAGGGCCGGATACGGTATAACATGGATGTCCTCAGAATCAGCAGGCATGCTCCCAGCAAGGACGGCGCATCGACTACCAAGGGCTGGACAATCGATGTCATGGACAGGAAGACTGAGTCTCAATTCCAGCTCGACTACGACAAGGTCGTCCTTTGCTCTGGAGTACGTCCTTCTACAACTTCACCAGGCTGTTAAAGCTCTCATGCTGACGCTAACTGTCTTCTGTAGGGCTGCAGTGAGCCATACACCCCTTCGACCCTGACTGAAAGTGCTGCCAAGGAAGCCGGCTTCACCGGTCCTGTCTTCCACTCTGCGCAGCTCCGCAAAAACATGGACAGCATATTGGCTGCCGTCAAGCCCATCACGGATGTCAACCCTGGCAGGGCGATTGTTATCGGCGGCGGTAGGTCTGCACAAGAGTGAGCGTCTTCTCTTGCATATGTTAAATGGCGGGTATTGAGCGTGACATGCTATGCTGTTTAGTGCCGCCGCATTCCTTGCAAACCAGGGACGCAAAGTTTCAGTCGTCTTCGAGACCGCAGATGCAGTCATCGCCACCCAAAGTCCTGTGCCCGAGGTCATCCGCAAGAGCAGGTAAGCGCCACGCTCGATGGAGCAAGAGGGCATTCCGCTCATCGCCCACTACAGGTTGATGTCCATCCTATCCCCCCATGCCGAGTTAAACACCAACCTTGAGTAAGCCTAGTTGTAAGCTTTGCAAGTAATGAGAGGCTAACAAGTGGCGCAGGCGGTTCCTCCATAATACTTGGGTAGGCAGCCAGATAACGCACGGTATCTGGAACGCACTAGGAAGCAACTCGGCAAGTCTTCAATGACGACTAGTCATGCACATCCATCACTCATTGTATTGCAGTTCAGTGCTCTCTCCGTCCCCCAGAACTCTCCCCTCCGGAACTCACACTCCCTGTTCTGGGAAGCGCGCACCAATGATGAGGGCAAGACGAACCCATACCGCTTCCATGGCCTCGTTGCGGCTGGCAAGATCAAGCTCATCGCTCCCAACCGTGTAGAGAAGTTCGGCAGCGACGGACACTCGGTCGTCCTCTCTGATGGCACTCGGGTCGAGGCAGATGCTGTCATCGTTGCCACTGGCTTCAAGTCTTCGTGGGGAAAGATGTTCGACCGTAAGCACCTCCGGCGAACGCGCATCGTAACCTCATGCTGATACATAAACAATAGGCAACACGCTAGTTAAGCTGGGTCTCGAGCGCGAATCTGCGTCTTCGCGTAACATCAACTACACCGAAGAAACCAACTACGCCTCGCTGTCCGGCACAACTTTGCCGCATCCTGCCAAGCCTAACTACAAGTTCCCTGCGTGCATCTATCGCGGTATTGTCCCAGCTGAGAACATCCTCGAACACGATTTCGCCATCAACGGCGCCATCGTAAGCGCCTCTGTTTCTTTGTAGCGTTATGGGAGCTCATGGGATGATAGATGTCCGCGAACAACGGCTACACTTTCGAGGTTGCCTCGCACTGGATCGCGTCGTACTTCCGCAAAGACAGATTCCTTGACATGCCTGCATCCGTGGGCGAGGCGGTCATCCAAACCGAACGGCACAATGCGTGGCTCAGGCAGCGCTACCCCGGTGCGCACGGTGCTCTCAGCGAGAGCTACAGCGGCGATATTACATTCTTCAAGTGCGCTACGCCCTTTTTCTGCAGTCACTATGTGCTCACTGATGTTCGTCTGTGTAGCTGGCCGCAGACGACCGACGCACTGCTGCAAGATATGAGCCTCCGGACGATGCGAAGTGGAGGTAGCTTCCTCACCTGGCCGTTCAAGTCCATCGACATCTCGGAGATTGCAGACCTTACGGAGGAGCGTGAAGAAAAGAGAATTAGCCAGCCGGTGTGGTAAACGTCGGCTTGAAGCTAGTAAAGACTTCCTTTCCAGTTGCAGCAGTATTTTATATGTATGCGCTAGCTGTATCTTTTTTTAAATCAGGTTTTCTTGTCATGGATTTTTATGTCAATGTACAGCGTTTCATGTAGAGGACAAAATAGAGATAATCAACCAATGTTAATGTTTGTGCCGCGTTGCAGAAGCGCCACAAAGCTCCCGATGCCCGACGCTTTCCTGAAATAGCCTTCCGCCATGCGCGTAAATAGTAGTTAGTCATTTGCCACGTGGCTGCACCGGCTTCGTTGCCTTCAGACGTATTCGGGATCGCAGGCGCTGCGCACTCCGACACTGTTACCGCCATGGACGACCGACCGCCCAGCCTGACCTCGAGAGCGGAACCCTCAGCGAGCTCTGTCAACGCCGAGACGGCGACGGCGACTCATCTCACGTTCTCGCAAGCATTGCAGACGGTGCAGGAGCCAGATGTGAGCGGGATTGCATCATGCGTGATTTGCCGGGACTCATCCACAGCGCAGGCCAACATCTTCGTCGCTGCACAACGAGGCGACGTCCAGGCAATCCGACAGCTCATAGAATCCGGTAAAGCCAAAGCTACCGACCGCGACGAACAGAACATCACTCCGCTGCACTGGGCTGCAATCAACGCACAGGTCCCCGCATGTCGGTTTTTACTGGAGCAGGGCGCGGAGGTTGATGCTCTCGGGGGTGACCTTGTGGCGACGCCAATGCAATGGGCCGCACGAAACGGCTACCTCTACGTGATTCAGCTGCTCGTTGCACACAATGCCGACCCGAACATCACCGACGCACAAGGTTACAATACGCTACACCTCGTCACGCACTCGTCATCGGTCATGCCCCTGCTCTATCTCCTGCACCAACCTATCAATGTAGACTCGAAAGATTCGCAGGGCCACACATCACTCATGTGGGCGGCCTACCAGGGCGACGCGCTTTCTGTGGATCTGCTCCTGAAGCACGGCGCCAGCCCCGGTACGAAAGATGATGCTGGTCTCACCCCGCTCCATTGGGCAGTCGTTCGCGGCAACCGAGTCTGCATCCGAAGACTGATAGAGGCCGGCGCGGACATTGCAGCCAAGGACGGCGAAGGTAGAACGGCCCGAGACATGGCGGTAGAGCTGAAGAGCCTGGGAGCATGGAAGCGGGCTTTGGAGGAGGGTGGGTTCACTGAGGACGGGGTCAAGAAGACGAAACCTCTCAGCGAGGTACGCATATATGCTGCTTCGTTTCACCTGTAGCTCATCTCCTTGCAGCGGAATACGAAGGTCGCCATCTTTATACTCCCGGCAATATTCCTGTGGCTCATGTTCATGACCCTATCAATCCTTCCTTGGTTCACCGGCATTATCCTCGCTATGGCTCTGTTCTTTGCCATGCACCATGTGAGTACATTTTGAGAATGCGACGGGCCTTGATGCTGATGGAAGTATAGATTGTCACCCGCGTTTTTTTGGACAGGTCCAATTATACCGACAGTGTAACAGCAAGCCCATATTTCGCTGGTATCATCTTCGGTTCTATGGTGTGGGTCGCCTATGCCTGGATAACGCGTTTGCTGCACCGTGAGTTGCGGCTGTCTCACTTCCCCTGTCGGCTACTCATCAAAGTTGCAGAGGCCCAATCGCACGCATTCACCCATCTTTCCTTTGCGCTGACGTTCGGTCTCTGCGCATATAACTTCTTCCGCGCCATCAGCCTCGATCCTGGAACATGTCCCAAGCCGTCTAGCGACGCTGAGCTGAAGTCCATCATTGAAGACTTGGCGTCAGAAGGACGCCTCAATGGTCAAACATTTTGCATACAGTGCATGGCTCGTAAGCCGTTGCGCTCCAAGCACTGTCGAGTTTGCGACAAATGCGTCGCTCGTCATGACCAGTGCGTATTGTTTGTCTCGTTATATACTGGTACTCATACGCCTCTGTTAGTCACTGCCCGTGGGTGTGGAATTGCAGTATGTATACCCAGGCAAGATTATCTGAATTGTTGCTGAAGAAGCTTTTCAGTTGGTGCCGGCAATCATCGCCAATTCCTGCTCTTTGTGCTTACCCTCGTCATTGGCATTGCTCTTTTTGACTACCTCGCTTTTGCATGTAAGTGATTTATGCAGATGTTCCCATGCGACCATTCTAACCTGTGTACTTACCAGACTTCTCATCGTTTTCGATACCCACGGAATCCCCTCATATTTCCCCTTCATGTGTCCTCCCGTCCTACCTCTGTGCCATCACAGCGGCCGATACCTTCCTCGTGTCTGTCACCGCCTGGGCAACACTGCAGCTGTCGTGGACGGTCGTGCTCCTTATTACTCAGCTCTGGCAGGTCGCGCGACAAATGACCACGCTCGAAGTCTCCAACCTAGGTCGCTACGGCTTCATGGGTGGTCGCGGTGGCGCCAGCCTGGGGCAGCAGATGGGTCATCAGCACCAGCATGCGGGCTCAGACGACACGACGGGCCACAGTCATCATCACCATCGGCACGGGCTGTGCGGCGGCGGAGGCTTCCTTATGAACCTACTTGGCTTCGACCGGTTCACGAAGGGCAAGGCGGCCGACGGGCTCGCACGCGCAGCTAAGGCGCCGAACCCGTTCCATCTCGGTATCGTCGGCAACTGCAAAGACTTCTGGTCGATGGGCCGCGAGCTCGGTGTCGAGTATGAGCGGCTGTACGACGTCCCGTCTGAGGGTTTTCTCGAGGCAAAGCGCCAGCGCGCGCGCGACGACGGCGAGGAGAACGGGCGCAAGTCTCTCCGTCAGAGCCTCCTCATGGGCTTCGGCTTGGGCAGGTCCTCCAACCGCAGCGGTTACGAACCTCTCAGCCAGGTGTAGCGCGCCCGATAGAGACGGCAGATAAAAGTGCAGTATCGTGGCGCTGGTCTCGGTATATCTGTAATATCTTGTTTCATTGCATGGACTGTCAGACACCTCGTGTATCGTATGGCAATTACTCTCGCTCTCTGCATGTCGTTATAAACTTCTATGTACCCGTGTTCGCAAATATCTTAAGGAGTGCTCGGTGCAAATGAAAGATACTCTTAGATTAAAAAAGGATAGAAGCGAGAATATTATGATGTGTCTTTTATGCCCGTGTCGTATGCTGTACGCGCTTTGCGATACGCTCTTCCTCAAGATACTCTATTTCCTTCAAGTCAAGTACTTTGAACGGCCAGGTAAACCAGTTCCCGCCGCTTCGCATGATCGGCAGGTCCATATCCTGGAGTAGCGTGTCAGCCAGCTGTGGCCATCTGCGAGAAGTCGCTGAGTTATTCTGTGTTCCTTTGGCAGGCGTAATGTGACATACCCCAGCATTGCCATATCAGCAGAATATGAGTCGTTCGCCCACCCGAGCATGCCCGGGAAGCGCACGCGTAGCCACGAGTTGTTCCTCTCCGCGTCCTCGACAGCAGCCTCGACTGTTGTAGGCACGCGTAGGAACGGATCCCTGCGGAAGTAGGACGCGATCCAGTGTGCACAGATCTCGAAGACATATCCGGGGTTCGTTGTAAACTGCAATAATTGTCAGCTTCGGGTCGTCTGTGAGAGGTGGAGGGAAACGCACGATGCTGCCATTGACCGCAAAGTCGCGGTTCAGGATGCTCTTCGCCGGAATTATCCCGCGGTATATCGCCGCAGCGTTCTCTGCCGTGGGGTCCAACTGTCTGAGGAGTGCACCGGTGCCGGACGGGTTGGCAAGCGACGCGTACGCGTATTCTTTCCGGTATTCCTTATCCTCGGGCGGCGGTGGGTGGACGTCCAGGCCGATCTCCTCGTAGGTTTCCTCTGTGGAGACCTGTCAGTACCCTGCAGCGTAGTGGGAGAAGTTATCGCGCACTGTCAAAGATGTCGGTCCACGACGATTGGAAGCCAGTACAGAGGACGACAGCGTCCGCCGCTATGACGCGCCCATCTCCCAGTATGACCGAGCTTCCGTCGCTGCCGAAGCCCGTAGCGCGGGCGGGAGCGATGAGGTCAATCTTGCCATCCTTGACGAGGCCGAAGAAGCGGTCTGGCGATGGAACGCCTTCATCATTTAGGCGCAGGCCCCAGAACAAGCTATGCGTGTTCCGAAGAGGCGAGTCCTTCGGAACGCCGAGAGCTTTGAACTGTACGAAGCCCGTCAGTAGAGACGTGACTTTGAATTGAATGAATGGCGTACTGAATCTTCAGCGAGTCGATTCCATACGAAATGTGTGATTTTGCTGCCGAGCCAGGTTTGGTGGAGGAACCATCTAGTAACGACAAAGAGTCAGAGCAAGATACCATACCAAGAAGTCTGTGCAGAACACATACTCAAGCCTGGTGTTGATTATGCGACTCGACGATAGTACAGCCAGTAGTCTACTTTTTCGGACAAACTCCGGTAGAGGACTGGCGGTGCCCATCACAGAATCTGACGTCTCAAAGACCACGGAGACCTTCCTACCACGGTTGGCGAGGTATGCTGCAGCGCTGTGCCATACCAATGTTTGAACTTAATGCGTATTTGTCAATGAAAGAGTCTGCTTACTCCCAGGCTGATTTTCCGCCACCGATGACCACTGCATGGCCCGGATTAGGGTCAGATTGGGGCTGCACGGCTTTTAGTAGCTTATCCACGTTTTTCTTGAAATCGAGCGAATGGAAGACAGGCCCCTTGAAGCCCTTAACCTTTGCAGCTTCAGGCGACAAGGAAACGGGATACTTCGGTGTGCTGCACCCCTATATGAAATCCAACATGAATGAACAGCCCCAGCGCATTTAGGTGCAGAGTGCAACATACTCCGGTGCATAACACAACCCTGTCATACCTGAGCTGACTCTCCTCGCCTGTGTTGCGGTCGCGAACAGTGATAATCCACCGCTTGCTGGGAGGGCTGCTAAGAGTGGAGAGATCCGGCTTCGCGGAACGAATATTAGTCACGATAGTGTTATACCGCAGCTTGCCCCTCAGAAACCTGTCTGCGAAGCTCTCCATGTATAGCCGCATATCTTCTCCGCCTAACCGGCCGCCTGATTTAGTCGTATCTGTCGGTGGAGGCATAGGCAAGGAAGAGAATCTGTACTCTCCATAGACGCTACGTATCAGAGTGTCCCGGTGTCAATGACTTCTACAAGCGAATATGCTATGGCACTCACTTGTTAATCTTGAGCTCGGGGTACATTCGCTCCTCAGCCCACGTGCCGCCCGGAGACTGGTCGCAGGTGATGACCTCGACGTTCTTGAAGCCATCCTGGACGAGCACTTGTGCACTGATCAGGCCAGCTGCGCCGGACCCGATGACGCAGATCGATTTTTCGAGCTCAAAACTGTCCATGTCGGCGACAGTGCAGTTAAGAACCCCGAGAGATATCGGCTTTATAGAGGGCCTTCAGGGGCGAAGACAATCAGCGTCGCGCACAAGCGAAGTAGACAACTTGTGCTCATTATCGGTGGTGCGGAGATTACTGATCGGACCCGGCACCATGAAACAGACCACAAGCCTCCGAGGAATCTTGTTACGGAACCCCCAGCACAGATCTATTTGGACGCGAAATGGTACTCACAGAACCAATGCTACTCGTAGCTTGCAATATGCAGGAGGGAAGGAAGAGCTGAAGCCCGGCGTGGAGCTGCAACTGATGGTGAACCAAATGCACGGTGTTTTCACTCTGGCACAAGCAGCTGACCAGCTCTGGCCAATTGGTGGGCGATTTTTCTTCAGTTAATTGGAAAGTCTGAGACCATAGCCATGTTGAGCGGTTGGATGTCTCAGCTGTTGGATTCAGCCCGGACTGTTCCGACGCATGTAACGCGTCGCGCGTCGTAACTGATTCATTTTCTTGATGCGCACTTTTTTTTCCTTGTTTCAGTTCCATTTATGGAGTCTAACCCTTGCCCGGTATCACTCCTTCGCACTTGAGCCTTATGCATCCTTGCGGTCTGGACTCGTCTGGACTCTGGAGCACAGCAGTATCTTGGCAGATCATCCTGCCGCCTGCGGCGGCTTGGCCGGAAGGGTGTGCGGAAGTAACAGAGCTCGGTCGATCAGGGGCATGCGGCGGGTATATGGTGAGTAAGGGGTGACAAATAGTAGTTACTTACTTTCGGGACATGTGGTTAAAGACACGCGTTATACGAGTTATCCCCCCGCACTGGGTGGTAAGCGCACTTTTTTTCGGCGCAAGAAAAAAACTGCGCTTACCGCCCTGTGCCGCTTTACGCCACATGCTTGCAGCCTGTACTTTAGCTTGCACTCCTTTGCGCTTTGTGTTAGTGCCCCGTGTACTGGATCTGCTCTCCACGTTGTGCTTGTCTCGGTGTTCGGACAGTTGAAGCTGTCGACTTTAGGAGCTTAGGCTCTCACCTCTCTCTCGATCTTCGCGGCCGTATCTGTGTAGGCCGTTTATTTTTTACGCTTGCGCGTCGTCGATCAACGCTTCGCGTCATAGTTTATGTTTGAGTGAATGGCATCTTATCCAAAGGATCCGCAGTGTGTCCGTCTGTGTATCGCATTGTACTTGCTTGCCTTCTGCTCACTGGAAGAAGGTCAGGGTTAAAGTCGTTAGCACATAACTATATAGAATATAGAAAGAAAGAATACACAGCGGAAGACGCGCACGACGGTGCGGAAGACGGGCTGGATGCAGTAGGAAACATTAAGCAGACACGACGCGACAAACCCTAACCTCAACCCCAAATTTGATGTTTATGCACCGTCACTACTCTCTGAAAGAAGGATGTCCCACTGTTCTCATTGCCTGTGTCACACTGCCCACGTTTTGCATCGCGTTCTTCATTCGTTATTCAGATGCTCAATCTTCATTAGGTCAATTACTTGGAACGGCCAGGTCAACCAATTCCCGCACTACACATGCAGTGATCGGCAGGTCCATGTTCTCGAGCAGTGTGTCAGCCGGCTGTGGCTATCTGTGAGATCCACTTCGTCAGTCTTGGGATGCATCTGCGAGCAATGTGTGGTATACCCTAACGCTGCTACGACTCCAACATACGATTCGCTCATGTACCCGAGCATACCGGGAAAGCGCACGCGTGTCCACGAGTTGCTTCTCTCCGCGGCCTCGACACCAGCCTGGATCATCGTAGGTACGCGCAGGGACAGGTCGCAGCGGAAACAGGACACGATCCAGTAGAAACAAACCTCATAGAGGTGTCCGGGGTTCGCCGTATGCTGCAATGGCCATCAGCTTCGCATCGTCAGTGAAGTCACGGTAGACAGAGCACGTACTATGGCGCTATTGGTCACAAAGTGGCAATTCAAAATCCCTCTCTTCGCCGGAACGATTACGCGATATATTGTCGCCGCTGCCTCGATCGGGGGGTCTACCTGTCTGAGGAGTATGCCGGCACAGTGCAGGGTGGCTATCATGAATGTTACACATTCCGGATGGTTCTCCCGGATTCCACAGTATTCTTTTACTTTCCATACACCTCTGTATATTTGTAGTATAATCTAGGAATTGAGTCTGACATGTATATAAGGAGCTCGTACTGCTCAATAACAAGCCAGACTCGAGCTGGTCTTTACTCACCTCCATTCCTCTCGTCTGTCTCCTCAGCCTTGTCGTAGCCCAGTCCAGTTGGATTGTTGGTTGCTGACATTAGCTCGAGTCTCCACCAACTGCCCTACGACGATCCTCGTCACTCCCACACCAACCATCACCCATCTCCACACGACGATCCATTTCATTTACCCAACCGAAATTTCACCCCAATCCTAACCCTATCAACTCTACCGCATCAAGACCCCTGGAACCCTTCTCCGTGCATTTGCGCATTTTATCATCACACATCCCCGAAGCCACCTCTGTAATCACCAGCCCTTAGGCGGCTGGACAGAGCTCCATCCAATTAGAATCGTACCCTGCCCTACCATAGGCGGTGTTACACGCTTTGCAGCAGGCAAGCAGATATTCCTGAGTACGACGTGGCAACTGGTTGCGGCCAGGCGTCGGAAAAGCGACAACAGTTAGATCGACGATCCCTTTCCGGATGTCGGACCGAAGAGACACAAGTGCTCTTTGGGCTGTTGTAGTAATCCTAGAACTGTATTAAGATAACGCTTTGGTTCTTTTTCAGAAATTCCCATCTTTGGCGAACTCTATCCCTGATCTGGTCGTTCCAACATGATTGGTCCCAGGGCTGCTGCAAACAAGCTTCACGGACTCAGTAGCATATGACCTCTAGACCCTCTTGTGGCTGTAGAGGATATAACCACCGAGAACTCAAAGGATGGTTCATCTACAACAATAGCGGAACAGTACACTATTGTGCGCAACAACTGTGTCCGCATTCCCCAAGAAATATTGATCGCTGTCCTCGGTGCGAAGAAGGATTACTTGGAGAATTATTAGAAAGAGTTCCCACCGGAGAACCCAACAAATCTCTTGCTGTTCCTCAAACAGTAGCATCTGGCTCAGAACCCAGAGGAAGACGCGACACCTTTGAGTCAGTTACTGAGCATCTCCGATCAATCGCCCTTGGAGAAGCCGAAGTACCACCAGAAGGTCCACCAGACCCCGTGGAAGAAGCTGTGGAAAATTCTGAACTACCAAGCCTGTTCCATCGTCGCCCCCCTACTCCACCATCTTCTCCATCGGATCCTGGCGCAATGGCCAAAGTCCAAGACAATGCCGCCTTCATTAATGGAAGTGCAATGAAATCAGACACCTTCGATGGCACAAAATCCAAGTACCTTTCTTGGAAGACACAGATGAAGCTTTACGTAGTCACGCAGAGGAAGCAGCTACCTGAGCAGTTCGATAGGGTCCTCATGATCCTGTCGTACATGAAAGGAGGACATGCTGGCAAATACGTCGCCACGTACATGAAGAAATATGACACCAATGAAGATACGGTGATCCAGACCACAAAGGCGCTATGGGAAGATTTAGACAGACACTTCCTAATCGATGAGGCGTCAGAAGCCTACGATTGACTGCAGGCAATGCAGATGGGCACACTATCAGCACAAGAATTCTTCTCGAAGTTCGAGTTGTGCGCCTTTCAGGCAAATATTCATGACTTCGAGAACCACTTCCAGGAACTCAAATTGCTTCTGGAAAAGGCACTCCGGGCCGACATCATTCGGCTCCTGTACAATTCGTTGGAGGAAATTCCCACTACGTATTTGCTTTACAAGCAAAGGGTCGCTTGCGTTGACCTGAACCAGCAGCAATACCGCAGGCGGAACCCACAATCCCAGTGACAGGGACAGTTTCAGCCTCGACAGCAGCAGGCGCAAAACGCACCACAAACGCAGGCTAACCCAGCTGCGCCAACTGCAAGCGCCCCAGTTCAAACACGCCGCGATGGGACAGGCACTATGTTCGGCGGCAGGGGACAGCCAATGGAGTTAGACCAGGTGCGACACCAAGGTCTCTGCTTCCGATGTGGCCAACAGGGTCACATATCACAAAATTGCCCTAACAGGCAGCAAGCCCAACAAGTACGGGCCGCAGAAACTCCGGTAGTTCTCACTACCAATACATTCGCACCACTCGCATTGCTTAATGAAGCACCTGTGGCAACAGCCAAACCATTTGATTGGAAGAAGGCAATTCACAACGAAATTTGCGCTGTAATGAAGGGTTTTGCAAGCGGTCAGCTGGGCGCATAGCCGAGTTGACTGAAGAGAATTTTACGAACTATCTGTGTTCTTGGTTTGGAGTCCCAATGTATATACAACAAAAGAAAGGGGTGTCCACAGAGTGGCGTGGAGAGGCTCAACCCTCTTGCTTAATTCCCCCGAATAAAAAATTACCTCCTACCTCGAATCAGACTGAACCTACGCAGTGGCAGCGCCACACCCCATGGACGGTGGCATAGATCTGCCAATGGATAGTCAGCAAGGAAGAAGCAGCGCTTAGATTGCTGGCTGAATGGGTACACTCAAAGAAGAGTGTTGACGCCTCCGAAGCCTGTATGAATCAGATCAGGCAGATGAAAGAAGAGGAAGCAATCGACTTCCTAAATGAATTACGGAAGAAACCTCACTTTGTTTGAGGAAGAAAAGGGGCGCAGATGGATGTCCCCATGATTGTTACTATCCTGGACACACAACAGCGCTTGTCAATCAAAGCGCTGTTAAATACGGGATGTACAGGATTGTCGATCAATGCGCAATTTGTACATGACAATAATATTGCCACAAAAAAGTTGCCATCTCCAATCCTGGTATACAATGCAGATGGAACGCACAACGCTGGCAGGGCAATCACAGACTTCGTTGAGCTAAGGGTTGAAATTCAGGATTACGTTGAACGGCTTCCTTTTGCCGTTACCAATCTCGGGAAGACTCCAATCTTCCTAGGATATGAGTGGCTCCAGATTCATAATCCATCTATTGATTGGCAGAAACAAGTCATTCAATTTGATTGGTGCCCGATCACTTGTAAATATGCTGCCCGGTTAATTGATATTAATGCCGATCATGAAGAACCCAGCGATCCGAAGGCTCGCCTAGAAGAAGGGAATAGAATTTTTATTCTAGACCACGAAACATACTTTGCTATGGGAGCAGCACGTATTCACACCACAGCCACTGATCTAGCGATTAAAGAGTCTGAAACACGAAGCCAAGACTTTTGAAAATACTGTCCCAAGTCACTATCACGACTACTCCGACGTATTCAGCAAAGAAGACTTCAACTCTTTACCGCAAAGACGACTGTGGGATCATGCAATCGAACTCACACCAGGCGCGCAACCAATCAGTTGCAAAGTCTACCCTATCTCCGTAAACGAACAAAAAGAACTTGATGAGTTCATAGAAGAGAACCTCCGAACCAGGAGAATCCGACCATCGAAATTCCCGTGGGCTTCTCCGTTCTTCTTTGTCAAAAAGAAAGATGGACGACTTCGACCCGTGCAAGATTATTGGAAGCTAAATGAGCTGACAATTAAAAACCGCTACCCACTTCCTTTGATACAGGAACTAGTGGACAAGTTGAAGCAAGTGCGGTACTTTACAAAACTAGACGTCCGATGGGGATACAACAACATCCGCATCAAAGAAGGAGACGAAGAGAAGGCGGCGTTCCTAATGAATCAAGGACTATTCGAGCCACTAGTCATGTTTTTCGGTCTTACCAATTCCCCGGCTACATTCCAGACTATGATGAACGACATATTCCGAGATCTCATCAGTCAAGAACACGTGGTAGTCTATCTAGATGACATCACAATCTTCACTCAAGATTCGAAAGAACACCGCCGGATCATGTGGCAAGTTCTTCAGATTTTAAGAGAACACAAACTTTATCTGAAACCGGAAAAGTGCGAGTTCGAGAAGTCAGAGATAGAATACCTCGGGATGATAGGAAAAGGAGTTGTCCGCATGGACCCAGTCAAGATAGAAGGAGTTGTCAATTGGCCTCAACCCAAGTGCAAACGAGACATTCAGGCATTCCTTGGGTTCACCAACTTCTACTAAAGGTTCATACGAGATTATGGCAAAATAGCAAAACTGCTCAGCTCACTAACAGGCAACACTACTTTCAAATGGGCCGTCAAACAAGAAGTAGCATTTACCAGCCTGAAGAACACTCTCTGCACAGCGCCAGTACTGGCCATACCCAATGACAACGACCCCTACCGAGTAGAATGCGACGCTTCGGACTTCGCTGTAGGAGCAGAATTAGCTCAGAAGCAAGATAGCAAATGGAAGCCTGTCGCTTATCTGTCCAAAGCTATGACAGCTGCCAAAAGAAATTACGAGATTTATGATAAGGAACTTCTCGCAATCATGACTAGTCTTGATGAGTGGCGTCAGTACCTCATGGGCGTCATACATCCGTTTGAAATATGGACGGATCACAAGAATCTAGAATACTTCCGAAAGGCGCAGAAGCTCAATCGGCATCAAGCCCGATGGGTAACTGAATTAGCTGAATACCAATACTCGCTGCATCACAAACCCGGGAAATCTAATGGCAAGGCAGACGGACTATCTCGTCAAAAGCGACACAATGCAGGAAAAGAGGACAATTCTGATATTGTACTGTTAAAACCAGAACATTTTCGTGCTTTGATCCGTAGTACTGTATTTAGTTTAGAAGGAATCGACCAGGACTGGATCACAGAAATTAAAAAATACAAAAAGAACCAAGATTCGCTAGTTACCGTAGCTCTACAGAACAAAGACAAGGACTGGAACAAAGATAGTACCGGACTTGTTACGTGGAAAAACCATATCTACGTACTGGTAAATAGGAAACTCCATGAGCAAATTATTGCTCATCGCCACGATACCCCATTGGCTGGACATCTTGGCCAATACAAAACGCATGAAATGGTCACGCACAACTACTGGTGGCCTCGAATCTGAGAAGACATCCGGAAGTACATGGCCAGGTGCGAGAAATGCCAAAAGACCAAAGTTCACACGACACAACCTACCAGACTTTTATTCCCAAACAAAATTTCTTCACGACCCTGGGAAGTAATCTCCGTGGATAAGATAGGCGTATTACCAGACTCATTCAGATACAATGCCATCTTCATAATTGTCTGCATGTACTCTAAGCAGATAATCGCGATATCAAGTACCATTGAGCTTAACGCTGAAGGATGGGGGAAGGCGCTTCGAGATAACGTAGTCGCACATCATGGACTACTCTGAAAGATCATCAGCGACAGAGAAACTGAATTCAAGAATCAGTTCATCTCTGAGTTATACCGATCTCTCGGAATCGAAGCCAACCCATCAACCGCATATCACCCCCAGACAGATGGACAAACGGAACGTATCAATTGAGAGATAGAACAGTATCTCCGATTATTCATCAACTACCGACAGGCCGATTGGGCCGAATGGCTGCCTCTTGCAGCATTTTTGTACAATAACAAAGTCCACTCTTCTACCAGATATACCCCTTTCTTTGTCAATAAAGGGTATCACCCTTACGAAGGAACTCAATTGATACGAGAAGGACTGAGCAAAAATGTCCAACAATTTGTTGATCAAATGAGTCGAGTATGCGAGGATACCAGTGTGGCTATAGGATTAGCACAGGAATCCATGAAACGTTTCTATGATAGGAAAAGGAAGAGCGGGCCAGAGTACAAGGTCAGGGATAAAGTTTGGCTAGAAGGGATAAACATCTGAACCGACAGGCCAATGAAAAAGCTTGACGATAAGCGATACGGACCTTTCAAGGTCAAATGCAAAGTTGGTGCCTCTGCCTACGAGTTGGAACTTCCGCGCCAATGGAAACAACACCCCGTGTTCAATGAAAGTCTTCTCAGTCCCTTCAAAGAACCAACATACCCCTTGCAGCAACATAAACCGGTAGTCCCTGATCTCATAAATGGCAAAGAAGAATGGGAAGTCGAAGAAATTTTCGACTCCCGCTGTGATCAAAACGGAAACCTTGAGTATCAGGTTCTCTGGAAGAACAGCCCTCATGGCGATCGTCATTGCTGGGAATCACGGGCGAACTTGACCAATTGTCAAGAACTCCTTCAGGAATTCCATGCGAGACGTCCTGATAAACCCGCGCCTATGATGATTAGAATTCCCCCTCTGTTGACACGACCTGTTCACATACTCACGCACGATACCACTGTTTTGGTACAACGAATGGGTGGAATTCTCCCGAAGCAAGGATCAGAAGAAGCCGCTGGTCTCAATCTCTACTCGGCCGAGAGCGTTAAAATACCGGCATGAGATCATAAGATTGTCGGCACTGGCATAGCAATGTGTGCCCCTCATGGAACCTATGCACGGATTGCGCCACAAAGCAGATTAGCGGTCAAAGGGATAGATATCGGCGCTGGGAGTCATAGACCGAGATTACACTGGAGAAGTACGTGTGGTGATGATCAACACCACCAATCAACCTTTTCAGGTACGCGCTGGTGATCGAATCGCACAAGTCATTCTGGAATGTATTGCATCATGTAATATTGAGGAGGTATCAAGTTTAACAGAAACTCAACGAGGGACGGGAGGCTTTGGATCAACTGGTAAATAATCGTGAGGACACGATTCTAGACGGGGGGGTAATGTCATGAACGTTACACATTCCGGATGGTTCTCCCGGATTCCACAGTATTCTTTTACTTTCCATACACCTCTGTATATTTGTAGTATAATCTAGGAATTGAGTCTGACATGTATATAAGGAGCTCGTACTGCTCAATAACAAGCCAGACTCGAGCTGGTCTTTACTCACCTCCATTCCTCTCGTCTGTCTCCTCAGCCTTGTCGTAGCCCAGTCCAGTTGGATTGTTGGTTGCTGACAGTGGCGAACGACGGGGCGCATGCATTCCCCTGGTACATCTGGTCCTCAGGTGGTGCCGGGTGGACGTCTAAGCTGATCTCCTAGTGTGTTTCTTCTGCAGGACTTCTTCAGAGCACGGAAGAGCAGCAAGCAGAGACGTCGTGCATTGTTTATTATGTTCGTCCATGACGAGCGAAAGCCGGCTCCGAACACGAAGGCATCCGCCGTGATGACGCGGCCGTCCTGGAGCATGGCCGTCCCACTAACTGTCGCTACCAAAGCTCGCGGCGCGAGCGGGGTAACGAAATCGATTTTGCTGTCCGTGAAGAAGACGAAGAACCGGTCTGAGGTGGGGACGCCCTTCACTACCTTAGGGACTGCTGCCGAGCTCCGCAAAGGTACACAGAAGAGTCTCGTGGAGGGCCACCTTCTCGCGTCTACAGGTTGGCGGCGCGATGACAAGCATGCAGACATGATTAGCAATACTGCGAAGTGGAATGATCTTCGCGTACGTACTCTAAGTTGCCACATCTCGTAGGCGAGGGACAAATGCGCCGCGCATCTGTTTCGACACGACAATAGAAGGATTACGAATGCTTTGCGGGAGGTATGTATGGCTGAAAGCGATCCATGGGGCAGATAAAGATGTTGACGGCGTGCTCCGGATGCTGAAGGACGCAGAGAAGGCATAGTCTCGAGAATCGTAAACTTCCATGCAAGGCAACCAATTATTTCGGGGGTAGCGTAAGCCTTCATCATTTGATCTGCGCCTTACATAGGCATCCATCCAGCGAGAAGACACAGCATAGTGAACGTGTAGACAGACGCAATTAGTTGTATAGTCGATCTTAGGATCCGGAAAGTGTTATAATAGCCCGGTTCCTTGACAAAAGACGTCAACTTGCTGGAGCTCGATCATAAGAGGAGCGGTTACTCGTAACTCTAGTCTGTCGTGATACCTGGAAAGCGCATACACTTTACAAAATGCGCACCCCCAGCACGGCCCATACACAGCAGCGACACAAACTCCCGGCATCAAGGTACAGTGTGCAAGCTATAGTTCTACTCCCGATATTTTGCGTGTTAGGAGCCAGTCCCTGTGAACCACATAATCCGGCTCCCTAAGGCTGGAACGTGCCCTTAATGATGTCCGATGCTGCAAAGCAGTCAGCGACTGAACTTCATATTGTGAGAACTACAACAAACCTTGCTCAGCTATCGCATATACAGTGGCTACACATATCGGCTCAATATCAGCCATGTACGCGCAACAGATAGTCCGGCGTACATACCCTGTGTGTGTGTAGCAATGTGCAGTGGGACAATTGACAGGTCGACGACCCTGAGGTTGTTCGTGCCGTGCACCCTGAGCTCGTGATCGATGACGCCGCCCTTGTCGCGCGGGGTCATCGAGCAGGTGCCGCACGTGTGCCACGTCGTCGAGTACGTCGCCTTCACGAATTCTGTGCGCCTCACGTTAGTATTGCGATGCGGAGGGGAAATGGGGCAAGAACGCACCTCTGAGCTGCTCGTCGGTCTGCACGGCTGGCCCCGGCGCGATCTCCCTGGCGACCATGTCCTTCAACGGCGCATGCTGCGCGATGTTGCGCGCAAACTTGGCGGTCTCCACGAGCACGTCGAGGTCTACGGCGGAGCGTCATTCAAATGCACGTGTGGCATACAGAAACGATGCAGCGCACCAGCCTCGTGCTCAAAGTAACGCGGGTCAAACTCGGGCTCGACCATCGGGTCGTCCGACGTTATATGCTGCACCGAAACCAGTCTTCAGAACGCAGGCTTCGGCGCGCATTGCGAAACCTAGCACTTACGACATGCCCCCTTGAGAGTGCATGGTTGATCCCGTACGCCCACGAAAAGTACGACCGGCCCTCCTCCGTCGGCAGCGCGCCCGCGGCGCCCGACATGCCGATAATTTCGCACCCGGGCCCCGCGGGGCACACGCCGGGGCGAAAACGCGCGAGCTGGATCGCGTGCTGCTCGCGGAGGCCGGCCGGCGTGCGTGCGGCGTCGAGCGCGTTGACCTGCGCGCGCGCGCGCTCGCAAATCGCCTGTGCACGCTCGGCACCAGCGATGGCCTCGAGCGGGAGGAACGAGAAGTTGACGATCCCCATCGTGAACGCGCCCGCGAGGTCCTTGTAGAGCGCCTCGTGTCGCGCGCGCCCCGCGGCGTGCTGGAGCTCGTTGAAGCCGAGGAAGTCATACTCGGGCTTGAGCTCTTGTGGCGGGTGTTAGATGAGAGGAAAGCGTACTGTAATGTGGATGACGCACCCCAAGAGAACCCTCCGTAGACGTGCTCCTGCAGATTCTCGCCAACGCCGGGCAGGTCGACCTTGACCTCGACCCCCACCTTTTCGAGCACGGACCTACTGCCGATGCCCGACAGCTCAAGAATTTGTGGGGACTTCAGCGCCCTAGCATATATGCATTGATTCCAGGTTTCCGCCAAGACACGAGACGAGACGTACCCAGCGGAGACAATCGCCTCCTTGTTCACATGCACAACATAACATTTCTCACCATGCAAGAACTCTACACCAGTGACGGTCAAGTTCCCGTTCGTATCCTTGTCTGATATGACCCTCGCTACGTGTGCATCAGGCAGGACAGTCAAGTTTGGTCGGTCACGATTGGGCATGTAGTACGCTGTGCAAGCGTACGAGCGCGTCGCGGTTTGTTGGTCAATGGAGTTGATCGTCCAGAAAACTCCATTTGGCTGCGCAGAAGAAGTGATCAGCATACGACAGAAACGAGATGTACTGGGGGCGTACGTTGCCGCCGTACTGTTCATAGTGGTCAGAATGTCTCAGCAGCTGAGATGCAGGCCAGAGCGACTTACTGGACATGGTGCAGCTGGGATACCGGCATTCTTGGCGGCCTAAACGGAGATTGTTACCATGCATACTCAGGTCGTGTGACATTGGTGAAAACCCCACCTGCATCAGGTAGGTTTCTACCTCGCTGAACGTCCTCGGGAACGAAATTGCTAGGGCGCCTTCCATACATTATAAGCGACGCTCACAGCCTGAGGCTGCATCATGCGTACCTTTCGTGCCAAGGTCTCCTTCGTGCAGCGGTATCTTGAACTTCTCGCGGAGTTCAGCCGCTGGCTCAACGAAGCTGTGCGAGTGTTGCTGTTGAGGAGGAGAGTTTGCCGACGAAAGGAGGGCCTACCGTTCGGCTCTATGTATATATTTCTGGAAATTCTTCCAGTTCCAGCCGGGGTTACCGAGGCGCTCCCAGTCTAAGGGCTATGATTATACGACAGCAGGGAGTTCAGGTGGTAAGGGCGTGCGCACCATCAATCTCCTCCGCCGGAGGCTTAGTCCACACCATATAATTGATGCCGGAAGAGCCGCCAAGGCCACGCCCCCTGTATCACAAAGATGTCAGTGTATAAGTTAGCACGTGCGGAGCGTGACTGCGAACCGTGCCCATGGGAATATCTTGCCAGTGCACATCTTCTGCTTTGTCTAGATGTACACCGTTGATCGGTCTTAGCTAAGGACCCCCGCCACCGGCTCGGAGTTACACACCGTCGCAAAATCCCAAGCGTACTGCTTCTTCCCAAAATGCGATGCGTATGAGGCAGGCGTCACTGTACGGCTTGCATGAATTTCTGTGCAGACTTAATGCATGGAGCGTTACGTACAAATGGCCGGGTCATCGATGTTCGGGTCTCCCGCCTCCAAGACGCAGACAGTCTTGGACGGGTCCTCACTGAGGCGGGCAGCTAGGGTAATACCGGCAGTGCCACCACCTACGCGGTCACTCATGGTCAACAGGTGTTGTGATGGCGGAGCGAATTGAAAGCAATTCACCGATAATGACATAGTCAAAGGACTTGTCGACGACGTCTCCAATTTGGGCGGACATAACGATGCTTCGGACAGGCTGTTCTGCGCGGTGGCGCACGTAAGACGCGTGCTTCGTATTGTTCAGCCCTTCTGCTGATTTCAACCTTTATACAATGTCTCAAGCGCTTGCGCTCGCGTAGGGATAGCCGGCCTGAAGGATATCCGGTCGTCGGAGAACCACAAAGGCGCGCTGCTAGCCGTACGGGAGCCGCCGATAACGCAACCTGATGCAAAGCCAAGGCAGCGTCCGGCTGCGTCTGGTAGTCACACATAGCAGCACCGAGAGTACAGCTGGATTTGATGGGGAATGTGACGTTATATGATCTGTGCAAGCATGCCACATGAGTTGTGAGCTCCTGCCGATGGGAGGCATGTCATAAAGGAAAGTCGTAGCAGAGTGGCGGCCGCACCTGAGATCATTGCGGGCCGACTGGCACCCCCGCCATGTCGCACGGCGCACAAGTCAAGTCAAGTTCACCGACGCGTTCCCAGGCGTGCATTGGAATTACGCACCGTGAAAAGGAGCAGCCGCGTTACTGTTCTCACATTACCCACATGCGCGCCCCCGTCGGCTTGGGTGGGAACAGCGTCGCACTCGGTATCAATCGCCGCATCGTCATAGTACGTTCCGCGCCAGCATCACCCTATCAGGCGGCAAAAACGAGCGTAAATGACACAGACGACCGCCCCTGCTTCGACCAAGCTTTGATCGAGTTTGACACTGCCAGTGCCGGCGGCTACGTTGAACGTCGGTCGCACGACCACCCGAGCGTACTGTATGGTAGCAGTCGAGGGCGGAGCGTGACGCCTTACGACAGGCAACCGGTCGTGTGACTTAAGACCTAGTGCCCGATACGAAACCGCCGCCGCCAGGCGGTGGCGGCGCGGCGGGCGACAACTTGCACGGGAGCCGACCAGCTGCGATATGCAATATCGAGGCAGATAAGGAACCATCATGATGATGTGCGATGCGTGACCTTGTTACCACCATACACTCGCTCACACTACTGCACGTCCGAGATCAGGGTCTGATCGAGGTCTGATAGAGCTTGCTCGACTCAGTACACCATTGTAGGAATAAAGCGCACCATACCCCGATACACAATACGACTCTATCGTATCTGCGCTGACCCCCCCCCCGGCCGCGTTGCAATCCACAGCTTGAGAGGATGGCCGTCGGTATCCAACCTCGCAGAGCGCAGTGGTGCAGATCAACTTTTCTAGCTCCAAGAGGTTCATGTTGACCGCAGTGCGACCAACAGTCCAAAGGAGACAGTAGTGTGATAGGAGAGCCAACGGTGTCAGTTTGACGTTGACATGAACGCATTGGATGGCCGCTCGATGTCGGAGGTGCAACGCGGCATGTCAAGGCGGCGCAGCTCCCAAAATCACAATCGACCACAAGCCTGCGAGTGAATCCTACGGCAGAGCTAGGCATGCCGGCAGCCTCAGCACGAATCGACCACTAGAGCGTGGAAACAGTACTCACAGTATGTCATTGCTGCTCTGTCGGCAGCATGAGAACGCGGGATACAAGCCTTTGATCAAGCTCGAGTGTTTTGGAGTTTGGACGGCGCACTGTAGTGGTACTTGAGTGGCAGCCTCCTCCTCTGGCATGGAGCTTGGCGGGGCGCGCGCAACGCAAAAGCCAACCGCGCGTCGAGCGCGCGCGGAAACAGCGCCCAGGCTCGTCAATGCCGCTCTCAGCTCGGGAGACGCATGAGAGGGGACAGTTCGGGCGGGCGGGCGGGGTATACGCGACGCGTGTCTTGGTGTAAGATAGGCCCACCTCACACCGCCGTCTCCTTCTCCCCGAGCAACCACAAACCATGTCGAGACTGCCCGAACTCTGCCATAAACAGTGCGAAAGGCACGACGGGCAGTGGTATTCGGTGCGCGTTCCGGGCATGCCGCTGTCCGAGCCGAGCCAGTGTGCTCGAAGAAACATTTCCCAAGACCTGCAGTGGTACCCAACGTTGGCCACGGCGGAGACGTACGCGAAAAAAAAGGCGGAACGATGATGATACAGTAAATGTCTCAGAGTCACAAACGGCCAGAACCCTAACCCTATCCAATCTGACATCCTCAAAAGCTCTCACACTTTCATGACTGCGGTCTAGTGAACATTGCCATACACAAAAAACGTAACAGGACTTCGTGATAATGTCATTAACCTACACATGATACAAACATTTCGGTGTGGATTCTTGCCACAGGGAGCAGCCGTGTCTGTCAGCGCGCGCGCGCGCCGCAGTCAGCACAAAAAAAAAAAACAAGTGCCTACGCAAGGAAAGAGGATACAGAGAAATTGGCGACGAGTTTGGGTATAATATGTGAGAAAGGAACTGCACCAACAACGATTCTTTTTGCGATGGGAGCTTCGTGGGGCAATTAAGGGAGGGAAAAGAAATATGTCGCACGCGAGCAAGAAACGCAAAGACGCCGCGAGACACGAACGAAAGCAAGCGACCAAGAAACACGGCGACTACCAAACACGCCTGGCCTGCCACCACCAGCCAAAGCACACGAAGGCAACGGCGCAAACAGCACCACATCACTCGTCAATGATGTTCCCAATACTCAGCGGATTCTTCTTCGCGCTCCCGCCACGCTCAATGTCGCGCCCCCCGCCCGCGCTGCTCGGCGGCGTCGCGCTCCGGAGCGGCGCGAGCTCGATCCCGCGTCCCCCACCGCCTCCTCCAGGCCCACGGTACTCCCCGCGCGCCGGCGGCGGCGCATACGACTCACGCGGCGCATACTCGCGCGGGTACCCCGCCGCCGCCGCCGCCTGTTGGTCCTGTGCGAGCGGCACAGGCGGCCAGCTCGCGGCGTGGAGCGCGGTGCTCGCGCCAGAGCCCGGGAACCCGGAGGGGGCACTCGCACCCGCACCAGCACCAGCGCCGGCGGGGCCCGCCGCCCAGCCGTGCGCCGCGGCGGCG